AAATTAGTATCTTAAGCCTCAGCAAGGCTTAAGATCTCACAACTGTTAAAAACCATTCCCAAAAGTTTTTTTAATTAACCTAACCTATTCTAATAATGTAACATTTCCAGCCATATCCTTGTGGCTCTAGAGGCCAAACAATGTTGTCTTCTCTCCCAAACCTTCACTAACTGTATGTTTGTTAAAGACTTGGGGAAAAATTTCCAAGTGACAAATGTCCTAAGCAAGCTATTGGTCTGCTTTATGTTGTTAAAAGTTCTACATTGAAGTGAAGACTATTCTTCCTCTTTAAGGTAATCAATGGATGTTACTTAACTGTTTAAATATTTTTTTAAACACCTCAAAAAACCTACGTATTTACAAGACGGATGCACCATGATTGACATGTCTATTTCAAATAAAACATGCAAACCATATGTAATACTAGAAATGCTTTTTAAAATAATGTACTAGTTTTAGTTGCATTAAAAGGTTTTTCTGTAACAACTTTAAAGTTGTGACAGACTAAACTGGAAAAAATCACTCAAACACAGCCAATTTTTGAAGTTTTTAAAACTGAAAAAGTTTGAAATCCTCTGCTTTAGAAAATCAAATCTATATACCACACTGTATACAAACACTAAGCTTTCTTCTCACAAATATATGGGTACCCTCCAGATATTTAACAGCCAATCATGTCAACCACAAAATCAAAATCTACATTAGGGTCTATGACGTTCCATATGTCAATGCCTTTCATTAATCTACATTTCACGTTAAAAACACAGTCATATTCAATGCCCAAGCCTAAAGCAAACGTTTCAGATTATTATCCTGAAATGAAGAAAAAAAATTATACAATCTCTGGTACTACACTATTTCCCACAATACATTTTTGTACCTGCATACATGGCCTTTTACCAACAAAAAGAGAATTGTTGTTTTCATCCTGCAGGTCATTTTATGTCCTTTCCAACTATGTCAGTCTAAAATACATGTGACTCCAAATTAGATTTTGCTCCTGGCCAGGGGAAAAGGCATATGAAATAATACAGGTAGACCTCGACTTACAACCACAATTGAGCCCAACATTTCTGTTGCTAAGTGAGACATTTGTTAAATGAGTTTTGACCAATTTTACAACCTTTCTTGCCACCGTTAATTGAATCATTGCAGTTGTTAAGTGAAACTGGCTTCCCTATAGACTTTGCTTGTCAGAAGGTTGCAAAAGGGGATCAGATGACCCCAGGACACTGCAACCATCATAAATATAAGTCAGTTGTCAACTGTCTGAATTCTGATCACATGGGGACGTTAAGTATGTGAAAATGGTCACAGATCAGTTTTTCCAGTGATGTCGTAACTTTGAACAGTCACTAAATGAACTATTGTTAAGTGGAGGACGACCCGTAAACCGCATGCCATTCCGTTAATTCAGACCACAAGCGTGTGATTTCGAACTACAGGCAGTCCTCAACTTACGACCACAATTGAGCCCCAAGAGTTATGTCCCTAAGGGAGAGACATTTGTGAAGTGAGCTTTGCCCCATTTTATGTGACTTTTCCTGCCACGTCTGTTAAGTGAATCCATCCCCCGCACTTGTTAAATTAGTCGGTTAAGTGAATTTTGGTTCCCCCGTTGACTTTGTTGGTCAGAAGGTCGTGAAAGGGGGAATCCCATGACGCAAGCCAGGGACACCGTCATAAATATGAATCAGCGGTCAAACATTCTGATGTACATCACGTGACCGTGGGGAGGGGGAGGAATAAACACTGCGACGGTCGTTAAGTGTGACAAACGGGCGTAACTCCCTTTCTTTTTTCCCCAGCGCCGTTGCAACTTCGGTCACTAAGCGAGCCGTTGTAAGTCGAGGACCGCCTGTAACTTCTGCCACTTCCACCCTCCCTCAGGACGGCCGTCTAAAACATCGACCCAAAAGCGATCCCTTCTGCAGTTTCCACACTCTTTCCCTCCTCCTCCTCCTCCTCCGACGGCGATGCCCGACCGCCCCGCGCCTCAGCCGGCTGGATTTCGGCGCGTTTCTTCCAAGACTCCCTGGAAGCCCCCGGAGAAGGGGGAGAAGGGCCGGGTTACGGGGACGGAGGAGGGAAGAAGGAAAGGAAGGAAGGAAGGAAAGAAGGAAGCGGCGGCCAGAGTTTCCTGCAAGAGGCGATCGCCTCAGCCGCCCGCAGTCTCCTCAGGACGCCCGTCGCCTCCTGCAAACCGAAAGCGCTGAAGGGGGTGGTGGTGGTAGGAAAGGAGGCCTCTCCGGCTTACCCTTCATCCTCCTCGTTCTTGCTGGCGTCGATTTTGGCTCCCTCCGATTCGCTTGAGCCGCCGCCGCCGCCGCCACCTCCTCCTCCTCCTCCCCCTCCGCCTTCTCCATTTCCCTCGGCCTCTTCCGCGCCGTCGCCGTCGCCGTCGCCGCCGGGAGCCACGATCCCTTCGAGCTGCTCGGTCTCTTCCGAAGACTCCGCCAGGGCTTCGTCTCCGGCGAACTGGTCGTCCGACATGAGGGAGGGAGGGTGGGGGCGGTTGTTGTTGTTGTTTTTTTTAAAAAAAAAGAGTCTCGAACTGGGGGGAGGGGAAGAGAAATAAATATGCCGCTGAAACGGGGGGAGGGGAGAAAAAGCGGTGTTCTCCACAGGGAGGGAAACGGGAGTCTCCGGTTTATTTCCTTCTTTCTCGCACTTTTAATGGCGCCGCCTGGCTGATTCCGATCTAAAATGGCTGACGGGAAGAATGCGGCGGCGCGGTCACGTGAGCCCAGGGCCCCCGTTTCCGAGCGCGCATTTCCTCCGAGCGCGCACCACCGAGCGCGGATGGCTAGAGCGGCGCCGGCTTTCGCGCCACACTCGGAGCAACGCCGCCTGGGGGCCTTTCTCCTCGTTTTGACGCTTCCGACTCTTTGGTTCCCTTAACCTCTTTCCCCACCCCCACCCGCCTTCTCTACCTCAGCGTTCCCCGACCTTGAAAAATTGTACTGTTAAAAAAGACGTGGGGAATTGCAATCCGCTCGATCTTTTTGCCACGGTTGAAAAACACGAGTCCTCGAGACATAAAAATAGGGTTTTTTATTTGCATGCACATTTTAGTCACTTATGGCTTCTGTAGAAAAGGCGCCAGAAAATCACTCCTGCGCTGCAAAACAATCCTTCCAACCGATTCTTAAAACAGCCACGTTACATTTCATAATAGTTTAATAATGCATATTTAATATATTTTATTTTTTTCCCTGTCGATATACTAAGGCTTGGGCTTTATTAGCAAACATTTGTTAATAAAGGTCAAGTCTCGGTATATCTATTTTCTAGGGGAGTAGATAAAACATGACCCAAAAACAATGCTTCCAATTTAAAAAAGAAAAATATTACTGCACGCTACCAAGATCAAATTCCCCCACTGAGGTGGTAACGGAAGAGACTAAAATCCTGCAACTGTTTGGGCATTTTAAAGCACTGCTACCCTCACTATGAGTAACGTTAAGGCAGAAATAAATTGGTCCAAACTTTTTGGAGACCCTTAAACGTCTCAAAGTCAACCCGTCTCCAAGATACAATTATTTTAAATGGGGGGTGGGGTGGGGGAGTAGAGAGCATTCAGAAAAATAAAAATATTTGGAAGTGTCTTCAGCTCCCAACAAATCTTTTTTTAAGAAGCCTTAACTATTTTTTAAGAAACCTTAACTATTACCTGCATATTAGATACAGTACTTAAAACCATCAGTTCTGAGTTGTCAGTGGCTCTAATTTGACCTTTCATTCCAAATTTTGAACTATGAAACAAATCTTCTCATATTTTGGACGTTTTTATTCATACTTAAAATACTGTATTAAAACAAAATAGTTTGCTTTCTTAAAATACAAGCAACACATTTAGCCTTTCCCGTTTTGTTCTGTGAATATCTTTATTTGCAATTAATCAGCCATGTATGGAAGTGAAAACTTATCAGCAAGAGTAAATATCAAGTTCATAACTCTTTTCTAAAAAGCCATTTGCTTCAACTCTTTCAATTAACTCCAAAACAACTCACCTGGGTCTCAAATGGGCAAAAATGAACTTAATAAAGCTGGTAATACATTTTGTGTTTTTGCTTTTTTTATGGATCACAGCTCATGAAAGTGAAGTCCCTTTATGTCAAGCTCAAATCCTTATCTCTTGAATGCATCTGTGGAACTTTCTTGAAACATGAAAATATAACTATTAACTTTTTCTTTACTTCCCAGTAAAGCCTAAAACTCTGAAGTTTTCAAACTGTTGATCAGGTTCAACCAGTTAGCTTTCTGAGATTAGACATCAGCCAATTGTTGCCATTTTCTGGGCAAAATAGTGAAACATTAAAAAAAAGTATAAAAATAAATCTTAAGTTTACAGACAAAATTAGCCTGAATGAGGTAGTTAAGTTTTGAAGCTGTTTATATGGATTCTTAATGCTAGGTTGATATGCAAACTTTCCCAAGTATGCTACATTTTTGTATCTTTAAGATTTAATGTTAACATTTTATCAAGAGTGACAAAATCATATTAAATGTTCTATTCAGGAAACTTTTCAAATTCATCTGATATAGGGGATTTTTGTGTGTAAATCCTTTCGTTACTTACACCTTAAGTAACATAATTTCTGCGTAATTCAGGCTCTATTTTTTCTTTGCTGAAATATTTGCCCAGCCGAATTATTTTCAGATAATCTGCTTTTAAAAAAACATTTTAACCAACAAAATTGTAGTAAAAAACCAATCCTAATTGTGCTGCTTTCATAGTGATGAAATATTATTTATCCAGAAACATCCACTATCCTGCTTCCATAAATCGGTTTTGCAGTCATATTTTATCAGCATTATCTTTGCAGAGGGTTAGAAATAACAAAAGGTTTCAGTGGCAGTACATTCAGAATATATTGTCAAACGTACAAGTTGTAAAAAAGCTCAAATTATTTAGCAGTCAGCATCTTACCAAAGTTGATGGCTACATAAATAAGGTTTGTGTTCGCCTCTATTTTCATGTGATCACAAAGTGGTCATTTCAATGCATGAAAATTTATTTATTAACATTTCTATATTGAAGATTCCCAGCAGTTAACAAAATTATAACAAATCATAAGGCATTACAACACAGGACACTACTCTTGAAAAATCATTCTATCTTTGCAGCCTCCTCACTGCAATTTTCTAAATCCAGGTACATATCACGGCACACTCCATTGCTGCTGACCCTGCAAGTCCCAGCATCTGTCGGAAGCATGGCGACGGAGTCTCAAAAACTGTTCACCTCTGCTACTATACAGCAGTGCCAAGAGCACAACCTCAAAATGCAACAGTCACAGAAGGTAAGTTTTTTTATTTGAGTCATTCAACAAGAAATACAAATAAAATTGTATAAACACAAGAACCACATTGGCATCGTAACACAGATGACAAAAGGACAAAAAAGTAAAAACCATAAAGAAAACTAGCCGGTCACTATGTACAGTTAGACACTGCTGTGTCATACACTAAAAGTCTTTTACAAAACAATTTCATGTCACGAAGACTACCCTCCAGTCAAGTCCTTTTTAAGTTCTGCAAGATGGCTTTGCTGTAGTCTCTACCTATAAAACCAAGACAAAATCATTATGAGACCTGTGCAACGTTTAAAAGAATTTTTAAAAGGTCCATTTTCATGAACTGCTTTAAGTCCTCTATTTATTCCTTGCTTCACCGTTAAAGATCATATGCATCTGTCAACATAAAATACTTTTGATAACCCAATTATATTTTACAACCCGGTTGATCAGTTCAGCTCAAATGATGGAGCTATATCAAAGAACTGTAGAAGCTCAGCCAAGTAGTTCTTGGTTTACTAGAAACCAAGCTGTGGTAGAATCTTTCATAGCTTCAACCGCTAATGAAAATAGAAAAATGGCAATACACCAAGGAAAATTATAGTTAGCCATGTGATTAAAATAGAAGCTGTTACTTGCACATGATCTTTAATGTTCCCAGATTTAAAAGTTCGTTTTGGTTTGTAGATTTCACTAATAGCTATAAAAGAAAAAAAGCAAGCATTAAATCTTAAAGAACGAACACTTAAAATGAGGTCCACAATTGATATACAACACTAAACAGAAGGCCAAAAATGATTAAGCTGTAAAGGCATTTATGCACTTTAACTCCTGTAAAAAACCATTTTAAGTTAAGTTAAGACACTTAAATCTTCAAAGAAGATTTTTAAAAAGAAGCCAAAGTCTGAAGTTTTCCACTTTAATCTTTACGCTGGTACATGAAGTTGGAAGAGACCATACCACAGGACAGCGTTTTCTGGTGTATGCCTTGCGCTCTGCCTGCAACGTGCGACCCCCAGAGATAGACGTGGTCAGGGTGACACACGGCCTGCAAGGAAGTTCCCGCTGGCGGGTACAAACAAGGTATAATGTCAGAGTTAGAAGACAACAATCTTGTTTTGCTTAAGTTGTACCCATTTCAGTACTTTACCTGTTGGTTAACACTTCTATTAAGTTTAATTATTCGTCTACACCACCTGGCACACAAAAATGTAAACAGAAAAACTCTTATGTTTCTCTGACATACTAAGGACGACGAATCACCTTTTACAGAGTTAAAGATCTATAGACACTTAAAACAGAAAGTTTAACAGACATTCACACGTTTTAATTTTTTTTTAAAAAAAACAAGCTATCCAAGAGAAGTGATTTTTTAAAAAATTTATTTGTCTATTGATCTTTAAATTAGATTAGACATAGGAGAGGTGACACATTCACCCAATACACACCTTTTTTTTCCCAAGTATTTCTTTAATATGGCTGGTAGTTGTTTTGGTGATTACCGCCACCTCGGGATGCCTTTCCATATGTGCTTTGCTGTCCTATTCCAAGAGAGAATATTGGCAGTTTTGGGAACTGTAAGAAACTGCAGGTTGGTTTGACAAAAAGGCACACTCTTGTCAAGCTAGACCTTATTATTTAAACGCAAAAAAAATATTCTGTAATACTCCTACACCGATATCAACAATGTTAATGAATATTCTACCTTAACTACTATTATATAAAAAAGCATCTCAGAATATTGACAAGACAGTTTTTAAAATTATTTGACATTAGACAGTTCAATTAACATAGTTAAAAGTTAAAGAAGGTAAAGGTTTCCCTGTCCAGTCATGTCAGACTCTAAAGCATAGTGCTCAGCTCCGTTTCTTGGCCAAGGGAATCAGTGTTGTCTGAAGACAATTTCCGTGGTCATCTGGGCAGCATAGATATACGCCACAGGAGCACGGAACGCTGTTACCATCCCATCAAAGTGATACCTATTTATCTACTCGCATTTGCATGCTTTCAAACTGCTAAACAGACAGGAGCTGGAGCAAGTAAACAGAAGCTCACCTTCTTGCACGGAGCTCGGGTCTCAAACCCGGGCTATCAGCAATCCAGCTGACAAGGGGCCCAGTTAAAAGGGTGTTTTAAAAAAACTGAACTTTTAAATGCTTCTTTGAAAAGATAATAAAACTGTTAAGATTTCCCCAACTCTGCAGGGAATGCTTTCAAAAAGCATGCACCTACACTTCTGAATAGTATCAGCTCTCCCTGGAAAGATAGAGTTGTCCCAAAGGTTGGATGAGAAGATGTTTCACTTCTCATCCAAGAAGCTTCTTCAGCTCTGTCAGGACTTTCTCTGTCAGAGCTGAAGAAGTTTCTTGGGTGAGAAGCGAAACGTCTTCAAAGAAAAAACAAGAAAGTCCAGTTGCCTCTTGCGAAAAAAAGCACCTTTGGAACAACCATGACCTGGATGACTAAGAATTTCTACAGACTGGAAAGAGAGATTAACTAGAAAAGTTAAATTAACAATATAATTAAATGGAAAGTCAAATGAAAATCTTACCACTGTAGTCAGCATATCCCTGGCTGTAGCCGTAACTTGGGTAATTGTACCCAGAATAATCGTATCCCCCATAGCTGCTGTAGCTTTGATCACTGTAAGGACTGTTGTAACTTCCATATCCTTGATCATAGTAATTGTTATACCCTTGATTCCAATTTTGGCCTTGACCTAAGAATGAAGTAATTGCAGCGTTAAAAGCCCACCATGTGTTTAAATTAATAAACAAGAAGTTTAAGGGCAAAGATCTGCACAGTACCTATTTTTCGGACTGTAAGACGCTCCAGACTATAAGACGCACATTAGCTTTAGAGGAAAACCAGAAAAAAAATCTCCCTCTGCCTCCACGGCCCATTCACTGCAAACGGGTGGCAGCAGCGATGATAGGCAGCGGCGATTCCCCCCCAACTAGAACAGCTGATCTGCGCTGCACCAACCCCCCTCCCCCCCACCCCAATATTTGCTCTATAAGACGCAGACATTTCCACCCACCTTTTGGGGGGGGGGTGTAAAGTGTGACTTATAGTCTGAAAAATATAGTACTTGATTTGTTCCTTTCCCATCTGATATCCCAAAGCTTATTTAATGCTAACCCTATCCTTTTACGAGACAAGCTAAAATGTACTTTTCCTCCCCGCTAAAACTGAGGGAATTTTTCACAAATTATTTTATTTCATGAGTTAAAGAGACCGGCTGTTTCCCCAAAAATAAGACATCCCCTGATAATAAGCCCAATCAGGCTTTTGAGCACATGGCAATAAGGCCAAGCGCTTATTTCAGGGTTCAAAAAAATATAAGACAGAGTCTTATTTTCGGGGAAACACGGTATACGTCAGTTACAATTTACCATACTTACCCCTGCCACGTCCTCTGGATCCCCCACGCCCACCAGATGAAGCACCTCTGCCTCCCTTTTGTTGCTGTTGCTGCTGCCTATATACATCTTTGGGCTGTGCTACTTTGATCTCACACTAGGACAAAAAAAAAAGAGTGTAATTTCAATACAAAATATATGAAGAATATATGAAGTTAATTATTGCAGCTTCTGCAAGTAAGAAATTACAAATACCTTGCCAGAACCAATCTGATGGTATCTGCTTTCCAGCAATTTCTTTACCGGTTCTTCATCCGAGTATGTGATGAAGCAGAAACCTCTCCTTTCGTTTGTTTTTGTGTCCATGGGAAGCTCTATATTCTCAATCTGCAAAGCCACATTAAAGACAATCAAAGGGTATTCACCTGACCCCAAGCTCCTTATATAGGACCTCCAATTTTTAAAACAATCTTTTTTACTTAGCGCTTCTCTTCTTTTTTTTTCTTTTTTTTTAATGCTTGGAAGGTATCGTAAACTTTATGGAATTGTAGCTCACATCTTTTAAACCAACTCCATAAAGTTTAGCCCCTTCACTTTTGCCATACAATGAAACATTTTAGAAAATAATCATAACACTTCACCATGTTTGTGTCATCCCTACCCTGACAATACAATACATTTTGCTACAAACACGGATGTACCAAAAAAAAAAAAAAGAAAGAAAAAGAAAATTCCCTTGGGAATTTGCAATATTTGCAGGCTATTTGGGCTGCTGTTTCTTGATTTAGAAGTTGCACAGGTCAAGTTAGTCAAAACAATTTAAATAAAGCTTTAAATGGATTATACCTCTCCAAAACCACCAAAATACTCCTTGATTTGTTCTTCGGATGTATCCGGACTCAGTCCACCAACAAACACCTTTTTGGGTGGCTCTTTCCCTTTCAGAGCTTTTGCCCTTTTGGGATCTATTAACTTGCCATCCAATTTGTGTTCTTTCAATTCCAAGACCTAAAAAAAAAGAGATTTATTGGTAATTTAGTTCCAGGAGGAAAAATCAACACAGATGTTTGAAATTGTTTAGAGAAGATTCCATGTCCCACAGAGGTGACTACATACCTTCTCAACACTGGCAGCATCTTTGAAAAGCACAAACCCAAACCCTCTTGACCTCCCTGTGACAGGATCTGTTTTTATTGTGCAATCCACCACTTCACCAAAGCGAGACAAATACTCCGTCAAGTCTTTTTTGCTCGTATCCCAGCTCAGACCACCAATGAACATTTTACTGGAATGGAAAAGAAGTTTCAAAAACTGACATTCATACGAAGAGTTATACATTGACCTAAAAAAACTTATTAGCTAATTTGCCTCAGTTCAGGTTTGTGGTTCAGATACAAATTGTACTTAGAAAAAATATATCCAGAAACACATTTTTTAATTGGAACAGGAGGGGGAGAAAAGAAAATCCTCCAGAATGTCCTCCTTCATCTACTTTCCATCACAAAACATGCAATTGTCATACAGAAGTTATTAATCTTCTCCAACATTTACAAACGATGTAAATGATCCAGAATATCACCTAAACCAGGTGAAGGGAAGAATCAACTGTCCAACCATCCAAAATAGTTCATTACATATGCTAAGTATGCAATACATTTTGAACATAAACAACTATCTTAAGCAAAAAAGCAAAACAAAACAGAAAGTGACTTCAGCCACTCTGGAAACATTCCAAATTCAAAACAGTCCCACAATTCAACCATGAAACACCATTTTCAAAATAGGGTGGCAAAACTTACAGACATACTTATGATGCATGTCAAAATATTACTTTTTGATCTCTAAAAACCTTATTTGAATAAAGTACTGAATTTAAGTGTTTGAAATTTCTGCATGTCTCTACTAAATATGACTGTAAGGAACATAAACAATCTCAAAAACTACCCCCTTCTGATAATTAACATTTGGAAGTCTTTAAAAAGCAGGGTTTTTATTTTAAAAAATTAAGAGCCTATCTGTATATATTCTGAAATTATGGCCAGTTATCTCAGCTCCATAGACAAAATTTGGAGCATGTTTATTGAAAAGGTTAATGGATTACAATGGGATTTTTTTCCTAAATATTTTTCCCCTGAATCAAAACAGTGTAATAAAATAACAAAACTACAGTACTTAGTCTAGTTAGATGTAATTAGAGATCAAGAAAAGTAACTGGATTACTTCAATATTGTGGGGGGGAAAGGTGAACTATAACAACAGGATTCCAAGGAAGTAACTTTTAAAAACTTGCACATTTTATTCCAAGATAGGTGGCAATCACACCTTCCTATAAAATCAGGATATAGTATTGTACCTATAAACTTGTTACAAAGATATTTTGGTATCACAGCAATTCTGTGAGACACTGGATAAGCAAATTGAGTTCTTCCTGTTACCAGTTCAATTTCTTAATCATTATATTGCACTTGTAAATTCTCCTTAACCATAAATGCATGTAAGAGGTTTATGCATTTGAAGTGAGGGTCCAACTACTGCAGCTCTCTACAAAAGTGACATTTCTTCATCAAGATCTCAAGCAATCTTTCTTTTAAATGTAATTAAAACAAATAACTGAAACAGGAAAACCTAAACCATGTCTGCCAAAAGCTAAGGGAATCACAAATTTTGCAGTGGGAGATAAATGGTAAGGTATAACTGGTATGATGTTGATTTTGCCAATAGGCCACAATAGTGGTCTCAGGTTTGCAATAGAAAAATGGAACAGAACTCTGAATTCAGAGGTCAGTGTTTGCTATCGTCAAACTTTCCTATATAGAATTTTAGCGTACACTACCTTGATTGTATTTTTACTTCATTATCTTCTCAATGTCCAAAGTAGCGCACACACACTATTGCCTCATTTATTCTTCACAACAACCAACCATGAATTGGCTGAGGGGGCACATAACTAACACAAAATCAGTCTTATTCTCAAGCATCAGAACTACACTAAAACTAAAGGTGGGCATCCTGAAAACCAACAATCTTCAAATATAAACATATACTCTATAAATATAGATGAAAAATGGATAGATATTATCTCCTTCATAGTTGTGAAGGATCTGATTTTGTGACATTTAAACTTGAAGCACTCAAAATTTGTACTATATTCTCCAAGGAGCTAAGGATCCTTCATCTGCACCCAAAATAACAATCCAAGCAACTTGTTGTGTATGTTTAACCATACAGTCCTTTGCATCTTTTCTAGATCCATTTTGGCTTCCAAGTGCCATGTGTAGCTCTCTCCCTAAGCCAGGGGTCTGCAACCTTGGTAACTTTAAGACTTGTGGACTTCAACTCCCAGAGTTCCTCAGCCAGCGAAGCCACAAGTCTTAAGAGTTGCCAAGGCTGGAGACCCCTGCCCTGCACATGGCTCACTTTCTATTATTTGCAGTCCTCCAAATACAGGCAGTCCCCAACTTCATTTAGTGACCATTCAAAGTTACAGCAGCACTGAAAAAGTGACTTTAAGACTGTTTTTCACACACACAAAAGCATCCCCAAGGTCAAACTTCGGAGGCTTGGCACTGGTTGCAGTGCCCCAGAGACATGTGATCTACTTTTGTGACTTTTTGACAAGCACAAGTCAATAGGGAATCCCGACTCACTTAACTGCAGTTATTAACATAACTGCCTTGATTCACTTGACTGTGGCAAGAAAGGTTCTAAAATGGGGCAAAACCCCATATAACTTGTCTTGCTTTGCAACAGACGTTTTGGGCTCGATTGTGGCCGTAAATCAAGGACTACCTGTAACTACTTTTAAAATGCATTCTGGCCTCCAATCATCTCTTAGACCGGACTCAAACTTGGCAACTTTAAAGGCATGCGGGCCTTCAACTCCCTTAATTCCCTAGCCAGCAATGCCAGGAGTTGAAATACACAGATTTTTAAAGGTTTTTGGACACCACTTTAGATCATCTTTCTCCTCCTGATGTAATCCAGGTGCGTTGGGACTTAAATCTCAGCCGAGAATAAAAAATCATAATCTAATATATCTAGAGAACACACGACTCCCCTACAGCAGGGGTCTCCAACCTTAGCCACTTTTAAGACTTATGGACTTCAACTCCCAGAATTCCTCAGCCAGCTTTCCTCAGCCAAAACTGGCTGAGGAATTCTGGGAGTTGAAGTCCATAAATCTTAAAAGTGGCCAAGGTTGGAGATCCCTGCCCTACAGCAAGAAGAGTGGCCAATAAAAATGAATCTCGATCTGAAATCTTGAACCCTGGAATGATCTCCCTGGAGAAGAATCAGACCCAAGACCACTCTTAAAAATAAAATACATTATAAAAAATAAAATATAAATTATATCGCGGGGGCTTTGCGGCCAACCACGCTTTTCCAACCAAGGGAAGCCACGAAAAGGCGCCCAAGCAGCGACGCCCAATAAGGATCCTGCGGCGGCGGCCTCGCCCCGCCCACAATGCACCTTCTTGCCAACTCCGCCCCCCCCCTCCTTCCTTCCAATGTTGCCAAGGTTTTGAGATCGCCCCGCCCACCCGATGGGGGCCAGCAACGCGCATTCTCGGCCGCTTCGGACCCGCCTTCCTCATCCAGGCACGCCCACTACGTTCCTATAGGCTGCCGGTTGCGTCACGAGACAACGATCAAACCTTTCCCCCCCCTCTTGCCGGACGTGGAGAACCGTCCCCCCCTTTCTCTCGCGAGAGGACATGGGGGGAGTGAAAAGACACAAAGGGAATTGCAGCGGCGGGAGGTGCAACGCTCACCAGGGAAGAGCGCGATCACGTGGCAGCTGCCGGGCGAAAGGCCTTGCTGAGGGCTTCCCCTCGGTTACTCTTTTTTTTTTTTAAACAGGCCAAAATGGCGCCCGATCCATCGACTCGTTCTCCTCCTCCCCCTCCCTCCCTCGTTCGACAAAGCTGCCCCTTCCCTTCCCCCTGCCTGGGATCGATTCCCCTCGTACCCGTCATCCTGCTGGTTCTTGCTGGCGTTGATCTTCGAGCCTTCGGCGAACTCTTCCTGGCCGCCGCCGCCACCGCCGCCCGAGCTTGTGTTGTTGTTGTTATTGCTACTGCCGTAGTCGGTGTTCTCCTCCATAGCGGGAACGGGCCGAAAGGGGGGGCGCAAAAAAAAAAAAAAAAAAAGCGCGCGCACACCGACGCAAAGGAAAGAGATTGACTACTACGCGGTCCGACCCGAGTATTAAAATGGCGGCCGTAACAAGAGATCCGGGCAGAGCCTGCGCTGCGTTTATATAGGGACCCGCTCAGCCAATCAGGGCGCTCCAGCGGCGCAGGCGCAATGCGGCTTCTGAAGGAGCGGCGGCGGGTGGAGGAGTGTCGGGGTTGCCCATGGCGGAAGGGCAGCGGCGGGGAAGCGCTTTTATCTCTCGGGGTGCCCAACACGCTTCTGCAAAAGGCTTCCCTTCCCTTTGCAACGGCAACTTTGTGGATCCCGGTCCCTTTCCCGGCAAAGTTTCCTGAAATTTGAGCCGGCCTCCCTTGCAACAAAGCTAAACCCACCGAAATGTGTGACAAAAGCATGGGCCAAGCATGGCTTTCATCAGGAATCCCCCCCCACTCCAAACACGTGTACATATATGGAGACCTGGGAGCGGGTCGTAACTTGTGAACACCACTCGGGTTTAACGGGGCCCTTGCGTTGGGCTGCATTGAGGAGCTGAAGGGCCATTGGCTCAAAAAAAATCGGATTTTTTTCCCCTCCCCTCCTTAGAATCTTTTCTTAAATTAGGTTCTGCATTTGCCTTCATTCCTTAAGAAGCATCAAGTCTTTAAAATGCAGGGCTGGTTTATCCCTTCGTCTTTTTCTCTCTGCATTATTTTTGCCTCCCGCTTTTTTTAAAAAGAGAATAAAAATCACAAACTCTTGTTGAAGGAGCCCTTGCGACCTCAAAAAAGATATTCTTTGTCTACAAAACCCAAATAGAGAAACTGCCCAACTCCCTTGTTAATGTTCTCGTGTTATTGGTTTGTTGAACCCATCTGGGTTCAGTTCCAAGTGGGAAGAAAGACACGAAACACGGAGATGGCTTGGAAAGATGGGTTTAATGGTGGACAGGACCACATGGTTTGAGATCCTGGGCAAAAAGAGCAGGAGGGGAAGAGATTTATACCCCCTCTTCGAGCTTCCTGTTCCTGTGCAAGAAATGTACTCCAATTGGTTGTCAGCCTTCCATAGGACCATGCAGGGGTAACTTTGTAAGTTGTCTTGAGTCCCAGGCCTGGTTGAATCTTGCTAGGTGATGATGTAATGAAGGGGCTTTGGGCAATTCCTATTATGGCTTAATGGCTTTGTCCTGGTTTGGATCTTGAGTGAGGACTAATCCTATCATGTCCTGAGGGCCGTGTCTTTTGTTTTGTAGATAAGCTGGCCCAGCCTTTGTTTTGTATATACCGTGTTTCCCCAAAAATAAGACCTTGTCTTATATTTTTTTGAACCCTGAAATTAGTGCTGGGCCTCATTGCCATGCGCTCAAAAGCCCGATTGGGCTTATTATCAGGGGATGTCTTACTTTGGGGAAAACAGGGTAGATTGGCACCAAAATATCTGCTGGAGGGGGGAGGGGCAGGGAGCTGAGGCTCTGAGTTTGTCTTTCGGAACATGTTTCTCCTTTAGGGAAAATATAATATTCTGCCTTTTTTAAAAAATATTTCCTACAATATTTTATTCTAGGAGGGGGTGGGTGCTAACTTTCTACAGGTTCAAGGGGGAATTATTTGGCAGGTACTTTCTTAACAGTATTTACTCAAGGATGCATTTTCTCTCTCTTGTACAGGACTCATTTTTTTACTATAACTACAGATTTCACGCTTCATCTGCAATTGTAGGCCCTATAAACAGGACACATTATTTTGAAAGTATAACACAGAACATCACAGACCAAGTGTTAGGAGATACATGAGGTTGCATCTCCTAATTCTTTAAAAAATGTAAAGGTTTACTTTGCATCTATGCCGACTGGCGTTTCCGAATAATAAAACGAAAACCTTTGAAAATCTGTCTATCTGCTTCAAACTCTTTAGATGTGCTGAAAGTTAATTTTATTCCAACAAAATTTTCCAAATGGATTATGGATTATTTTAAACTAAAGTTAATCTGCTCTTATTACACATTTGTAATAGCTTTTAAATTATTTCTGCTCTACGTGGCTGATATGTAACAAAGAGACTAGGAAAAACTAGTCTGCACTATATTCTATAATACAAGTTGGAGGTCTCTCAAAGTGACACATTGTCCCCTTCCCCTTACAAAACTGACGGAAAATCCACACCTTTGGAGAGAATATTTAGAAGAGAATGTTACTTCTAAATAGAGGAGCATAAAAAATAATTGGGTATAAAATACCAGTGGACACCATTTGTGGTTGGAACTAAGGCAGCCTGTGCTTTTGATGGAAGGAAGCAGCACTGTTGTTTTTTCCAAAAGATTAGTAATTTATTAAATTTGTATGCTGCTTGACTCTCAACTACTCTGGGCAGCTCTCAACAATCAAATCAGAGTAAAATAATAAAAATAAAACATTGCTTAAAACAGCGAGAACAGAGGAAATGAAATGTAATTAGAAAAATAGATATATATAGTCATATTACATATTATAATATTAGGCTATATAGTCTGATCAGGGAATCTGAGTCAGTTTTATTAATGGATCTCCAATTTCTTAACCAGACTTAATGACAGAAGAGGCAAAATGGTGCTAAAGGTTGCATTCTTTAGAGCCATTTTTACACCCCCGTGATTTCCAAATATGTTGGATTTAATTTCCATCCTCCCCATGCAATCCTAAAATGGCAATGCTCATCCACATTTCAAAGGTCCACGATGGGAGATGACTGTTCTAGAAAAGGTATTCAAAATTCCATTGCATGTATGAAGCCACCCAAAAATAAAATCACCAATACCTGTGTTGTTGTTTTTTTAGTCAAACTGTTGATGTGCCTTTTGAAGATTACAAAAACTGAATCACATCACTGGCGACTGCAAATATCGTATTTATTAAACTTACAAAAGTTATAGCTGAAGCGAATTCATCATGATTAAGGGAAGATGTATTGCTACAATAATTCACCGTAGAGGGGCTCAATATTAGAAATAATCACTGAGTGAAGTCTCCTTATGCAAAAGCAGTGTATCTTTGAATGTCTGGTCCATAACCGCTAAAAAAGGAGAGAAGTACAACACTTTGCCCTTATGCTTTTGGGGCTTCCCACAGAGACAAAATGGTTAGATCATATCTAGGAAAACAAGGGTCTTCAACCTACCATCAGTACAGATAGTCCTCGACTTATAACCACAACGGAGCCCATAATTTCTGTTGCTATGCAAAAGAGCTAAGCAAATTTTCTCAATTTTACGACCCTTCTTGCCACAGCAGTAGTAACACAGTTGTAAGATGAACCTGGCTTCCCCATCGACTTTGCTTGCTGGAAGTTCGCCAAAGGTCATCTCATGACCCCAGGACACTGCAACCGTCATAAATATGAGTCAGTGGCCAAGCATCTGAATTTGGATCAACTTCGGTCATTCAAACGAATGGTTGCAAGTAGAAGACTACCCCTAGGCACATTTGGAAATTTAAGGACATCCTGGGAGAGGTGGGGGGGAGCTCACTGATATAATGCTGGCGCTGTTCTTGTATCAATCAATCAGAGTAGAGCTGGAAGGGATCCTGGAGGTCTTCTAGTCCAGCCCTCTGCTTAAGCAGGAGACCTTATACCAGAGCACCAGAAACCCAAAGAGCAGCTGGCCGGCGCACACATGCCTGGTTTTTTGGGCCGTTTTCAGGCCGGTTTTCAGCTGTTTTTGGGCTGTTTTTTGGGCATTTTCAGGCCATTTTCCAGCGCTCCGGCACCCACAAAGACCAGCGCCAGAAGCCAGAAAAGCAGCTGGTGATGGCACGTGTGCCCACAGAGAGGGCTATCTGTGCCACCTCTAGCACCTGTGCCATAGGTTCGCCATCATGGCCTTATACCATTTCAGACAAGTAAATGTCCAATCTCTTCTTAAAAACCTCCAGTGATGAAGCACCCACAACTTCTGAAGGCAAACTTGTTCCACTGGTTAATTATCCTCACCACAATCTGGAATTAGGTTTCGCCTTAATTCCAGGTTGCTTCTCTCCTTGATTAGTTTCCATCCGTTGTTTCTTGTCTTGCCTTCTGGTGCTGTGGAAAATAAGTTGATACCACCCCCCCGCCCCCCTCCTCTGTGACAACCTCTTGGATATTGGAACACTGTTATCATTTCCCCCCTCTCCCCCCCGTCTTCTAGATTAGCCAAAACCAAGTCCTGAAACCTTTCTTCATATGTTTTAGTCTCCAGGCCAGGGTGGGTTCTACTTACGTTTACTATCGGTTCACAACGGGAGCACATGCGCTGATTGTCCATTATGACATCCGGGCGGGTGAGCAGAGCTTCCCGCCCAGTGGTGGGTTTCAAAAATTTTTATTACTGGTTCTGTGGGCGTGGCTTGGTGGGTGTGGCTTGGTGGCGTGGCAAGGGAAGGATACTGCAAAATCCCCATTCCCTCCCCAATCCAGGGGAAGGATACTGCAAAATCCCCATTTCCTCCCAATCAGCTGGGACCTGGGAGGCAGAGAATAGATGGGGGCGGGGCCAGTCAGAATTTTTACTACCGGTTCTCCGAATTACTCAAAATTTCCGCTACCGGTTCTCCAGAACTGGTCAGAACCTGCTGAAATCCACCTCTCCTCCCGCCGCTTTTACTACTGGTTTGCAAGAACTGGACAGAACCAGGAGCAACCCTCCACTGCTCCAGGCCCTTAATCATTTTAGCTGCTCTTCTTTGCACTTTTTCCAAAATCTCAACATCTTTTTTTTTTGTAATGTGACCAAAACTGGATGCAGTATTCCAGGTATGGCTTTACTAAGGCTTTATTAAGCGGTACTGATATTTTTTTTATTATTATCATTCTATGCCTTTGTTTACACAACCAAGGATCGTATTCTATACAATTCTATATTTTAAGGGCACAACCTCTTCAAACGCCCCATGGCCTTTCACTTTTATTTGGCATATGGCAAGTCAAATGGTCTCCTCGGTATCATTTTTATTTTATTTTTATTTTTATTTGGGCCCAGTTTCCTTTTGAGCAGCTTGGCAAACAGACAAGAGGTGGATCCACGGGGCAATCACGATAGGTTTGCAGGGAAATGGGGCAAAAATCCTGAAGCATCCAGAATGAGTTTATATGTCTCCCTAAAACCAGGCATTGTTAGTTTTAACTCACAGGGAAGCATTCCAGTATTACTGTCCCGTGTTTTAAAAGGAAGGAAGGAAGGAATTTCTTTTAGAGCTTCAAATAGCCTCGACAAACGTTTGCTTTAGATATTTCAAATTCAGAAGACTCGCAAGCCATATCGGAAGGCCGGGTTTAAAAGATGCGCAGGGCAGCCTCCTCTTCTCATCCCCTTAAAATAAATAAATAATAAATAAATAAATAAATAAATAAATGGAGAACCTGAGCAGTTCCTACTACAGATTTCCATAGAAAACTATACTAAGGAAATATATTATTTAATATTACATATACTGACAGCAGCCTCAATACTCTATGCGCAAAATTGGAAGAAGGAAAACTTACCATCAGAAAAAGATTTAATTAGGAAAATCTTAAAGAGTGTGCAGAGATGGACAAATTAACAAAAGAAATCAAGAAGAGGATACAGAATATTACAAAGTGTGGTGTAGGTGGTATGAATGGTTGGAGAATAGGAAAAATGAGAAAGAGGGAAAAAAGACGGGAGAAAAAATGTTGAAGATCAAAGTAAAATTTAGAAAGAAAGAATGATGGAAAATAAATTGTTGAATAAGATAAAAGTTAAAAGTGTGTGTGAATAGATGTAAATAGTAAGAAAGGATCACTTCGAAGTAGCTGTGGGGAAAAGTGATTATGTATATAAACGTTGTGTGTTTGTATCTTGTGTTTAATGTTTTCAAAATAAAAAACTTTAAAAAAAAAAGAGGCTGATGTCAGCTATTTTGGTTTCCTAGCCCCTTCCCAAGCGCGCAGGACCACCAATTCCATCGGTCGCCTCACCCATCCACCCGTGCAACGTGGTCACTGGGGAAGTGGCGAGGCCGGCAAAAGCTCCGCCGTTCCACGCGCAACTTTTTAAAAGAATCCTGAGGAGAAAAGCGGGCGCCACCCTCCGCGGGAAGCCAAGACGCCTTCGCTCCCGGGCTCAGGTCCACTTTTTTACACACATATAAATATACACACACACACATGCACACGCGCTGGGAAAATGGCCGCTCGTCTTACACAACATGGTGGTTTTGGGGCGTGCACGTTCACGCGGGGTGGGGAGGTGGGGTGTGTCTTTCTTAACCTTGCACCGAGCTTCTGTAAAGGGCTCCTTCCTTCCTTCCTCCAAGCGCTCCGACTCCCCTTTTTCTCCCGGCGGGAGTTGGGGGGAATAATGAATAACTTGAATTCTCCCTCGGATGCGATAGAGACGGGGGGAGGACACGGCAGCGTTTTGCACGCCCATTGCACCCTGCAAGCACAAGCACACACACACACAGAGAAAGAGAGAGAAACCCTCGTTTCCTGGCGCGGCAAGGTTGGCAGAGGTGGCCTTTATTTTATTATTTTATATTTTATTTTAATTTATTTTAATTCGGCTCTTCAAACCCGGGAACTTTCTGCAAGCCTTTTTTTGAATCAAACCCTCTCCTGAGCAAGAGAAAAGAAAGAAGAGGAAAAAAACGCGCGCCTCCGCGTGATTTGCACGGGGGTGGGGGGGAAGCCTCCGCGTGCAACGGACAGGCGTGCAAAGCCCTTGCACCACCCCGCGTCAAGCGTACACAAGCCCGAGCCAAGGTGCAAAAAACCCCCCCAAAAAAATACAAAAAACCCCCAAGGGTTGAGAAATAGGCAAACGCGCGGCTTGCAAACCCGCCTCCCCACCTCCACCCCCCGGCCAAGCACCCACTCGCAACCTCCCACTCGCAACCTCCCACCCTGCGCCCGCATTAAAACGATTGCAGACCCCCTCCACCTTTTTCGCCCCCCACCTTCCCTTTTCCCCTATTTGCAGCCACCAATCAGAGCGCCGTCATCCCGGGGCGCTGCGGCGGCTCCGCTTCCAGCCACGTGGGTCTCCGCCCTCCGCCCCGCTCGTGCTCGCGGAGGGCTCGTGGCCAGCGCCGCCGTCGGTCTGCTCCTTGAGAAGTCGCCTCCGGAAGCTTTTTTCCCCCCCCCCCCCCCCCCCCTCCCCCGTTCCCCCGGGAATTTCCCCCCCCCCCCCCACCCACCCCCGATCGCGTCTGGTTCCCGTCCACCCCACACCCCGGGGGAGATCGGGGCTGTGGTGGAGATCGAGCCAAAAGCTTCCTAGCCGGGGACATGGTGGGCTTCACGGTCCCCGCGGAAGTCAGCGTGTTTTTGCTCGACGTGGAAGGCACCACCACTCCGATCACGTTTGTCAAGGTGAGTTGTTGGGGAGTGGGAGTTGCGTACGTTGCAAATCCTCAGGCTTGTAGGAAAGGAGGGGTTTTTTTGGGGGGGGTGTAGACGGGGCTATTGCAAAAAAAAAATTATTATTTAAAAAAAAAAAACCCACCCGTGGCTTCCTCTCGCGGGAAGCAGCCGCCTTTTGCCCTGCCTAAAACTTGCAAAGCGCGTGGGAATTGTGGGGGGGGGGGAGCGGGGGGGGAGGGGACGGATCTCCTTCAGTCTGGCTTTCTTTTACAAAAAGAAAGGAAAAAAAAACACGTGAGGATCGGGCCCCCCACGCGTGTGGATCGCGCAGCCGGTTTAAGTGGTTAGTGGGGAAGATGCTGGATTAACCCCCCCCCCCCCAAAAGTAGGCTCTTCTCTTTTAAGCACTGAAGCCTGGTTGGGTTAGTTAGAATTTACAGTAGTGGCCAAAATTGTGGGAACCTTTTGGGGAAAAGTGTATTTTCTAAAACTAGCTAATAATACCACTTTTTTGGCGGGGAGGGGGGGAGAGTAATACCATAAAATTATATATATCAATGGAAAGATAATTTAATCAAGAATGTAAGAATGTATTGATGTTAATCAGTAACTTTTATGAAGGATTTGCTATTAGAATAGCAGTTACAGTAGAAAGTAGAAAGGTGAAACAGGTAGAAAAAACGAGATATACAAAACTTATCACCATAGAAAAAAATGAGATATACAAAAATGATCACCATGTCAGTTAATACTTATTTGGATAACCTTTAGCACGATACAATGTTTTCCCATGGAGTGAGCCAAGTCTTTTAGTTCTGCAGCTGTTATAATGTGAAACCAAGATTGAATGACTGCTTCTATTTTATTTTATTTTATTTATTTATATTTGAATTTATATACCGCCCTTCTCCCCCTAGGGACTCAGGGCGGTGAACAGCCGAAATTAAAATACATACAATATAAAAGTTAAGATAGCTAAAATAAATTAAATCAGTCGGCCCCCAATTTTAAACCCCAAAGCTATACAATTAAAAACTCTCAAGGTTGACTCAGCCTTCCATCCTTTCTAAGGTAGGTAAATTGAGGACCCAGTTTGTGGGGGCAATAAGCTGACTTTGTATAAATATACAAAAGTATGAAGGCTATTGCTTAACGCATTGTAAGCTGCCCTGAGTCTCCGGAGAAGGACGGCATATAAATCAAATTAAAAAAAAAAAAAACCTAACCCATAAAAAGCCTAATTAGGCTAGGCCGGCTTGCTGAAATAAAAACATCTTCAGGGCCTTATGGATCAGTCGTATTCCGGGAGGAAGCTCATTCCAGAGGGCGGATGCCCCCACAGAGAAGGCTCTCCCCCTGGGGGCCGCCAGCTGACATTGGTTGACCGATGGCACCCTGAGGAGGCCCTCTCTGAGAGCGTATTGGCCCGTGGGAGGTTATCGGTAGCAGAAGGCGGTCTCGTAAATACCCTGGCCCTAAGCCATGGAGCGCTTTAAAGGTGAGAACCAACACCTTGAAGCGCACTCGGAAGACCACCGGGAGCCAGTGCAGCTCGCGGAGGAGAGGTGTTATATGGGAGTGCCATGTCGCTCCCGTAATCACCCGCGCGGCCGCATTCTGGACCAGTTGGAGCCTCCGGGTGCTCCTCAAGGGGAACCCCATGTAGAGAGCGTTACAGTAGTCCAGGCGGGAAGTGACGAGAGCATGAGTGACTGTTATTAACTGTATTAACTGGGTTTTTATTGCTGGGTTGCTTCTGACAAACAAATTTCTTCGCTCCATAGATTTTCAATTGGGTTAAGGTCTGGGCTATTCCCAGGCCATTCCAGCAGTGGTCGAATAGGATTATCTTGAAACTCCAAAAAAAAAGGGATGTTATTAGCCATCAAACCTCAAAAATACACTTTTCCCAAAAGGTTTCCACAATTTTGGCCACGACTGTAGAATCAATCACTCAGCCCAGCCTAGCTTGTAGGGTTGTTTTGTGGGAAAAGGAAGGAGTGTTAGTACATCCGGTTTTAGTGGAACAAAAATCAAGGCAGGGTGGAAATTGTGCCTGGGTGTCTGTATTTCCTGTGGTTTAGATGAGAGTGACAGTGTAGGACAGTGTTTCTCAAATGTTGGCAACTTTTTAAGATGGGTGGACTTCAACTCCCAGAATTCTGGCTGGGGAATTCTGGGAGTTGAAGTCCACCCATCTTAAAAGTTGCCAATGTTGAAAAACACTAGGGTAGGATTTTTTTTTTTTTAAGTGGAGACAGTATTAATAGTTTATCTCTGTACAAAGTGCTGGGTTGGGTGTGTGCATTTTCTGTAAAGCTATGCTGACATAGGAAGGAAATTGATTTAAGTTGAAGACTAAAAAGATTAACTGTTTGGTAGCTTTTACTTAAGGGAGTTATGTGGTTTAAAAAAAAACCTTTTGCGTTATATATTTATTATTTATTTATTTTATTTTATTAAATTTCTATACCGCCCTTCTCCCGAAGGACTCAGGGCGGTGAACAGCCAGAAGATAAAACACAGAGATACAAAAATTTAAAATAGATTAAAAATGAATTAAATAATTGGCTGAATTTAAAATACCCCATAATTTAAACAGATTAAAATTTGTATTTAAAATTTATATTTAAAAGGGGAGAAGATTTAGGCCAGGCCAGCTTGATGAAATAAAAATGTTTTAAGTGCGCGACGGAAGGTGCGCAGATCCGGGATCCTCCGTATCTCCGGGGGGAGCTCATTCCAGATCGTAGGTGCCCCCACAGAGAAGGCCCTCCCCCTAGGGGCCGCCAGTCAACATTGTTTGGCCGACGGCACCCGGAGGAGCCCCTCTCTATGGGAGCGTACTGGCCGGTGGGAGGCTATTGGTGGTAGCAGGCGGTCCCGTAGATAACCAGGTCCTAAGCCATGGAGCACTTTAAAGGTGATAACCTTTATACTGTAAAGATTACTTTTTAAACATCACATTGGCCATGCAGTTGAATGTTTGCTGATAATCTATATACTAATCTATGCAAAATTTGGCTGGGCTAAAAAGATGGATGGATAGATGGATATGATTTGATGCGGTGCGTTAAGGTGAAACCAGCCAACTCTGAAACATTTAGTAAAGCATTATTAAATGATAGCTTCATGCAATTCAGTCTGAGACTCTACACCAATAATGTTGCATTGCCATAGGAAAAAAAATGATTAAATTATGTTTTATATCTGTCTTCCCATTTTTTTTTCCACAACACCAATCCTGAGAGATAAGTTGGACTGACTAAGAGCGACTTCTATGCCCGTGGGTAGATTCGAACCTGGATTTCTCCAATATTAGTCTTAACGCATTAACTGCATTGCCTTTTCAAGTACCAGAATAGCCCAGTGCATATTTATTGGGCAGTAAATTGCAGTGCCTCTATGGACTTATTACCATGGAAAGACAGGAAGATATAATAGTTAGGAATCGACTTTCTGATTAGAGGGAGTGTTGACTTACGACCACGATTGAGGCCAGAATTTATGTTGCAAAGCGAGACATTTCTTAAGTGAGTTTTGCCCCATTTTACGACCTTTCTTGCCGCACTTGTTCAGTGAATTATTGCAGTTAAGTTAGTAACACGTCTGTTAAGTGAATTTGATTTATCCATTGACTTTGCTTGTCAGAAAGTCACAAAAGGAAACCTCATGATTTTGGAACACCACAACCGTCATAAATGCGTGACTGAGGTTGCCCACAGTCTGAATTTTGATCAAAGTGGCCATGGGGATGATGCAACGGTCGTAAGTGTGAAAAGGGGTCATAGGTTACTTTTTTCCCAATGATGTCGTAACTTTGATTGGCCGCTAAATGAATTGTTGTAAGTCGAGGACTACCTGTAATATTCTAAGGGATCTGCTGTTATTTTCTTTCCAGGGCCTGTGAGGTATGCAGCCTTTTCACTTTGCACATACTTCGCACTGCAAAGTAACCCCTCCCATTTAGGGAAAAAAAAGTCACAGTAGCACAACAAAGAAATAATTATGGACTGCAGGACAATGGCATGATTGATATAGATTATGTAATGTGGGGGGGGAGGTACTGCTATGGAGAAGACACTCCAGGGCCAATTGGCTGACCAGATACTACAGGAATTTGGTGTCCCTTCAAGTAACCAGGCTGTAGGTCAGGTAGGGCTTAATCGGCAGCACCTTGAATCGTACCTGGAAGCAAACTGGCAACCTGTGCAGCTCGCAAAGCAGAGGTGTTAACATGGGCATGCTGAGCCATGGCCAATTACTGCCTACAACTTCTGCCTTTTGAATCAATTTAAACTTCCAGTTTGTCTTCATGGGCAGCCCATGTAGAGCTGGCTGCAGTAGTCAAGCCACGAGGTCAGCAAAGTTAACGCGGAAGCAACAGATTCACTTAACAATCGTGTTACTAACTTAATCATCGGCCGTGTGTCGCTTAACCCCTGTGGCAAGGAAGGTCGTAAAATGGGGGCGAAATTCACTTATCAAGTGTTTCGCTTAGCAACAGAAATTTTGGCTCAATTGTGTTCATAAGTCAAGGACTACCTGGAGTTGTTTCCTAAATTAAAGAGATTTATCTTTATCGTGTTTTCTTCCAGAATTGTATCTATTCCACACAAGCATCTAGATCACAGTTGTCCAGCCTTTTGGCTTGCTTGGGCCACATTGAGTAGAAAGGAATTGTCTTGGGCCACATACAAAATATATAATTTGTCTGTCTGTGTCTGTGTCCATGCATCTTTTATTTTTTACGTTTTATATCTTCTGTGGCTGCATTACTAGCTGTCCAGGGTCTCTTGTAGCCTATGGGCCACAAGTCGTTCATGCCTGATTTAGAGTTTCTGGATGAGAATGCATATTGGCATGGAATTTAATTTAAAGGAACTTAAAGGAAGGTGAATCATGTTTCTGTTTTCAAAGACAGTACATTGCCTTAAATACACGTCTCACACCAACCTCCAAATGTCCATGGAGATTCTCAGTCATCCAGGTCATGTTTGTCCCAAAGGTGATTTTTCAAGAGGCAACTGGACTTTCTGGTTTTTCTTTGAAGACGTTTTGCTTCTCATCCAAAAAGTTGAGAGCTGAAGTTGTGGTCCGCCAGCAGCCTGCGGAGCTAGCAGCGGAGTTGGACAGTGAGGAGGCTGGGGAGGAACATGGGCCAGTCCTGGAGTCTGGAGAAGCTCAGACTACGGGCTCTGCATCGGAGGCAGAGATGGGGCCAGGGCCATCTGGGAGGTATTCCTCCAGAGTGGGATATCAGAGAGGCAGAGGAACAGGGAGGAGCCTGTTCCTAGTGCACGCATGCACAGAGCTGCCAGAAGACAACAGTTAAAACTAAAGGGACGACTTGGGAGTAAGGCCTGGTGATTATTGGCCCTTTCCATAAGGTTTAAAAGAGGAGCAAAGGCACGTGGGTCCTTCGCAGGAAAGCAAAGTTGTTAATTCTGTTCCCAGTCGGCATCTGTTTGATTCTGGACTCTGTGTGGCTTTGCCAAGTAGGTCTTTGGCAGCATGTCAAGGGAGATAAAGGTTGGTGATTATCTCGAAGGACTTCTCCCGAATGACTTTTTGCAACTAATTGGGACTCCGCTGTGAATGAACGTAATTCACAGCTGTTGCAATAAAATATGTTTTTAGGACTACTTGTGTGTTTTAATGACTCAGGAAGCCTAGGTCACAACAGAAGAAGCTTCTTGGATGAGAAGTGAAATGTCTTTAAAGAAAAACCAGAAAGTCCAGTTGCCTCTTGAAAAAAACACCTTTGGGATCGACCTCCCGAAGTACTGTTTGCTGCAATCTAATGCACAAATAGGTCATCGGCACAATTAGTCAAACAGAGGTGGAAGTTATCACTTTTGGTTGCCCAAAATTGGGCTTTGTTTCAATTGACCTTAATAACTTTAACAAGGTCTCTTATATAGAATTAATTTTCCCCATGATTTGCTTTTCAAGCACGAGCAGCCAACCTTAACCTACGTGACTTATTTAACATGAAGGTCACATCATGGTCACTTAGCAAGCCCAGTAGACCTGGACATGGAGATCTGGCAGACGTGATCAATCTTAGTTTAATGTAGTTCTATCTCATAGAGATGTTCCTCAAATTATAGGCTTTTTGATGTTTTAAGAATAGCACTTACAGTTGCTGATTCAGCATTTGATTATGTAGCTAATTGAAAAGCACACGGTCTGCTGGAACAGGAAAAAAATATAACAGGAAGGAGGAATCGGTCTCACATCACTGGCATACAGGAAGTCCTTGACTTACAATTATTCATTTAGCAACCGTTCAAAGATACAACTGCACTGGAAAAAGTTGCTTATCGCCAGGGTTCGTATTTATAATCACAGCACCGACAATCAGGTGATCAAAATTTGAGTGCTTGGTAACAAGCATGTATTTACAACACTCTGTGTGTGTGTGTGTGTGTGTGTGTGTGTGTCTCACACTTGTCATTTCAAACCTTCCCAACTAGATTCCAATAAACAAAATGGGGAAAGCCGGATTCACTTAATGACTTAACAACTGCAATGATTTGCTTAACAACCATGGTAAAAAAAAAAGGTCATAAAATTAGTCGTGACTCAGTTAATAACCGCCTTACTTAGCATCAGAAATTCTGGTCCCAATTGTCATAAGTCAAGATCTACCTGTATGTCAAAATTACTGTTTTTCCATTGGGCCTATTTGAGTTTATTGTATTAATTATTGAGGGGCTTTTGCAGCCAAACCAATCAAGAGCCTTAAAAACTAAACCTATTTGTTATCACCTACTTAGACTATGTGGGCAAGGATACTTTAAGAAGAGATTCTTCATTTGTTTTTAACAATGAAGTGCCTTTTTTTAAAAGGTTAATACTTTGAAGGAAAAAAGGAGGAGAAAAGGGGGGGGGAAAATTCCCCCCTTTCCCCCCCCCCCCACTTTTTTTAGGCCAAAGAATTTGAAAGAATATAATAAACTTTGTAAATAAAAATGGTGACAGTTTATAAAGATTACTAGATACAAATAGAAATACATGTTATTTCCATAGCAAGGAAGATAAATCAGGAATGGTTAAATTGATTATTTAAAGAGGAAAATACATTCTTATTTGGATATCACTTCTGGAATTTGTGCATGTGAAAAAAAAAACTTTGATCTTGGTTTGGTTGATTAGAAAGATTTGGTGTTATAGAAATGGCTAGTTATATATTAATGTCTAAAAGCAAAAAAGAAGAGTTGGAACTCTATGCCCCCTTTTCTTTCTTTTTCTCTTCCCCCTTGTATTCCACACCCCTATTTCCCCCGTTCCCTTTCCTGCCCTTAATTTCTTATTTTCTTTTCCTTTTTGTACTTTATATTTTATATAATAAAATAAAAAAATTAAACGGACAATGAAACTGCAAAAAAAAAAATCTGCATTTATTAAGGTATATTTACTCTCAAAAAGATTCTGTCTCTTTTCATCTTGGTTTTCACTAAGTATGCTCACTATTTTCCCTAGCTACGTGTGTTTAAATTTCTCTTTTGAGAATTAGGTTGTATAGATTTGGTGAAGTGACTGAATTAACTATATTGGATAATCAATGCTTTTGAAGATGCCCCCAAGGCCTGATGTTGTTTCCAAACATATGTCTACAGTAGCTTAAAACACGGATATCTTTTTGTTGTGTCCCCAGGATATTCTGTTTCCTTACATCAGGGAAAATATTCGCGATTATCTAGACACCCACTGGGAAGAAGAAGAGTGCCAGCAAGATGTTGGCCTGCTGAGAAAACAGGTAGAGCATTGGACATCTCTTATTCATTATTTATTTCATTTAAAATACTTGTATAGCCCAGTGGTGGGTTGCCCCGATTCAGACCGGTTCTATAGAACCGGTAGTAAAACTGGCGGGAGGCTCCGCCCACTGACCCTGACGTCATCAGAAGCGATATGCGCAGAAGCAAGGCATGTGCGCAAGAGAAGCGAGCGCACAAGCACAATCCCATTGCGAAGCGGTAGTAAAGGTAAGTAGAACCCTCCCCTGGTATAGCCACTTATCTCAACACAACTCTGGCTCTTCTCATGCCAGTCTGATATTGGCAGAATTACAAAATTACAGAATAACAGAGTTGGAAGGGACCGTGGAGGTCTTCTAGTCCAACCCCCTGCTCAGGCAGGAAACCTTATACCATTTCAGGTAAATGGTTCTCCAATCTCTTCTTAAAAACCTTCACTGATGGAGCACTCACAACTTCTGGAGGCAAATCATTCCACTGATTCATTGTTCTAACTGTCAGGAAATTTCTCCTTAGTTCTAGGTTGCTTCTCTCCTTGATTAGTTTCCACCCATTGATTCTTGTACTGCCTTCAGGTTCTTTGGAGAATAGCTTGATTCCCTCTTCTTTGTGGCAACTCCTGAGATATTGGAACACTGCATTCATGTAACCCCTAGTCCTTCTTTTCACTAAACTAGACATATCTGGTTCCTACAACTGTTGTTTGTATGTTTCAGCCTCCAGCCCCCTAATCATCTTTGTTGCTCTTCTCTTTACTCTTTCTAGAGTCTCCACATCTTTTTAATATTGTGGCAACTAAACCTGATTTTCTCCATGAGGATCCGTTGCCCTTCAGGTCTTCAAATGTTATTATTGCTTTAATTTGAGTCCATCCATCTTGCTATTGGCCGCCCTCTTCTTTCCTTCCAACTTTCTAGCTAACCTCCAACCGACATAAATTCTGACTTGCCAAATTGCTGACAAAATCCATACATTAATGAGGTATGGAAGAAATATTTTTTCCCTTCAAAACCTATTCACCTGGAGACAATTTTTATTTGCCCAGAAGTCATACTAATCTAGTAGGAGGTGCATTTTTTTCCCTTTTAAATCTATGTAAAAATTGCATACAGGCCTGCACAGAAATGGCATTGAGGAAAAATACCGAAACCTCCTTTTTTACGACTCTGTAATCCCTTAATTCAGGGCATACTGTTAAAAATAAAGATTATGAGGACATGAATAATATTTTTTTAACAAAATGAAAACTAATTGCATGGCAAGATGCCATGAATTAAAGCAAAACAGCACCCTTCCCAAACTCTGTTAATTTATAAGGTGCTCCCACTCTTCTTGAAAGCTTCCAGTGATGGAAGCTCCCACAACTTCTGTTCCATGGGTTGATTGCTCTTGCTGACAGAAAAGTTCACGTTATTTATTTATTTATTTAGAAAATGTATATAGCCGCCTACTCACTCGCAGTGATTCTAGGTGGCTTGCAAGCAATAAAACACAGTATAGAAAATAAAAATAAAATAAATAACCCAACAACACACACACACACACCGAGCAACAGTAAACAGTTAAATGAAGCATTTGATGGAGTCCATCCCACTTCTGGGCTCCTCAGGCCCGCTAGAAAAAAACTGAGTCTCCAGGACCTTACGAAAAAGTGTCAAAGTGGGAGCCAATCTAATTTCTGAAGGGGTGATATTCCAAAAGGAGGGAGCCACCATGGAGAAGGCCCTTCTCCACCAGACGTAACTCCTTAGGCCAGGGGTCGGCAATCTTAAACACTCAAAGAGCCATTTGGACCCATTTCCCACAGAAAAGAAAAAACCGGGAGCCACAAAAACCTTCCCATGCCTGACTATTTCCTGAGTGGCCACAAAACTAGCATATGTAGTTGAATTAAACGTTCTGTTTTCTTCTGAAACTTTTCTTTTCTTGGATTTATCCATGGTTGGCCTACCGGGGTCGAAAAGCTCAATAAATGGCATGCCAGTGGGTGTCGCACATTGGCGGTTGTGACGCATATTTTGAGCGACAGAGCCGCAGCAGAGGGATGAAAGAGCCACATGCGGCTCCAGAGCCGCGGGTTGATTACTCCTGACTTAAGCTATCACCTTGCTTGTTCTCTGTTTTGATTTCCTTAGGCTGAAGAAGACTCTCATATGGAGGGAGTGGTGCCTATCCCACTGGAAACCAGGGATGGAGAAGAAGAGGTTGAACGGGTCATCCAGGCCGTGATAGACAATGTCCTCTGGCAGATGTCTTTGGACAGGAAGACCACAGCTTTGAAACAGCTCCAGGGCCACATGTGGAGAGCGGCCTACGAAAATGGCCGCTTGAAGGGAGAGTGAGTAGTTCCTTGTGATGGGCAGACTTCTTCTATGGCTGAGGCCGCTTTATACATTATATCTTTCATTATCCAAGAGGTATTGCAATGAAATGATATCATCAGAGGGAGCTAGGATGGAATGTTTGGCTCTTTATCAGGGGGTGATTTAATACAAGTTTAGGTAGGTAGGTAGGTAGGTAGGTAGGTAGATAGATAGATAGATAGATAGATAGATAGAATTTTTTATTGGCCAAGTGTGATTGGACACACAAGGAATTTGTCTTTGGTGCTCTCAGTGTACATAAAAGAAAAGATACGTTCAAGAATCATAAGGTACAACACTTAATGATAGTCATGGGGTACAAATAAGCAATCAGGAAATCAGTAATCCTCAACCATTGATTTAGCAACCATTCCAAATTACAACAGTACTGAAAAAAAGGGGGACTTATGATTGTTTTTCACACTTACGACCGTTGCAGCATCCCCGTGGTCACGTGATCGAAATTCCAGATGCTTGGCAACTGGTTCATATTTATGACGGTGGTCGTGTGATCCCTTTTTGCGACCTTCTGACAGGCAAAGTTATTGAGGGAAGCTAGATTCAGTTAACAACTAATGTAATAACTGCAGTGATTCATTTAACAGCTGTGGCAAGAAAGGTCGTAAAATGGGACAAAACTCACTTCACTACTGTCTTGCTTGGCAACAGAAATTTGGGGCTGAATTGAAGTCGTAAATTGAGGACTACCTTGTCACAGAAAGAAGCATTTTCTACAATGACTCTACTGTATGAAATGCTTTTTCCTCATTTTATAAGACACTTCCCCCCCCTTGCACTGTTTTTTACCATGTTTCCCCAAAAATAAGACCTCCCCTGAAAATAAGACCTCCCCAAAAAACAAGACCTCCCCAAAAATATTTAAAGGCATGCACAGCCAGTCCCTGCCATTTCCTCTGGTTAGGGTTAGGGAGACAGAGCTGGAAATTAGGTAAGACGGCAAGAGGAGCCCCATCTTGCTCCAGGCACCCCAAAATAATAAGACCTCCCCAAAAATAAGGCCAAGCGTTTATTTCAGGGTTCAAAAAAATATAAGACAGTCTTTTTTGGGGGGAAACACAGTACATCCTTGGAAAACAATATTTTTGCTCAACCTTTCCTTAAATATTTTATGATTATCTGATTTTACCATAGATGTTTTAATTGCTTTTCAATATACTTATTTGTCATTCACTGCTTAGAGATCATGATTAGGATAAGCTTCCAGTGATATCTTAAAATATTGGTGAGGAAAGCTGTTTCATTGCCTCTTCAACAATTCTGTCTCCATGTCCTTCCTGGCCTATTCCAGATTCTTTAAGGATGTCGTTCCCGCAGTGAAAAAGTGGAAAGAAGCAGGAAGAAAGGTGTATATTTATTCCTCTGGGAGTGTGGAAGCTCAAAAACTTTTGTTTGGAAACTCTACAGAAGGTGATATTTTAGAGGTAAGCATACAGTCTCAATATCTACGGAGATTCTCAGTCGTCCAGGTCATGGTTGTCCCAAAAAGTGCTTTTCAAAAAGGCAACTGGGCTCTCTTTGAGATTTTTTTTTCTCTTGAAAACATTTCACTTCTCATCCAAGAAGTTTCTTCAGTTCTGATTGAATGGTGAGGAATGGAAGGATCTATATTCTTCACAGTCAGCTGGTCGTTAGCACTCTGAAGATCTGTCTTTAGCTCTCTCAGAGTCATTGAGGCAACTTGTAAATTTATCTTTACCCTCAAGATCACCTGAATCAGTGCAAATGGGTGTGGAGTCTTCTTGGGACTGCTGAAATGACTTGTGTTGTGGACAGGAGATAGTGATATTGTATCCCTTCTCCTCTGTTGAGAGGGGGCTGCTCAATTTCAGAGCGCTAACAACCAGCTGACTGCAAAGAGTATAAATCCTTCCCTTCCCCACCATTCATCTAGAACTGAAGAAGCTTCTTGGATGAGAAGCAAAATGTTTTCAAAGAAAAGAAAAAAAACAAGAAAGTCCAGTTGCTTTTTGGAAAAGCACATTTGGGATATACAGTCAAAAGATGAACCAACTGCCCACACAGTGTTTCCCTGCCAAAGATAGTAGCACTTTGTGCCTCTAAAACAACAGTAATATTACAAAGGCAGCCACTGTGGTATAGTGCTTAAGATATTGGACTAGAACCAGTGGTGGGATTCAGCCAGTTCGCACCACTTCGGGAGAACCGGTTGTTAACTTTCTGAGCAGTTTGGCAAACTGGTTGTTGGAAGAAATCATTAGGGCAGAGAACCGGTTGTTAAATTACTTGAATCCCACCAATGACTAGAACTATAGGAATCCCAAGTTTCTAGTTCGGGGTGTCAAACTCAGTTTCATTGAGAGCCCTATCAGTGTTGTGTTTGACCTGGGGGGAGGGGAGGTGGCCAGCTCGACATCACTTGTGTCGGGGGCACCTGTGGTGGCCAAGTGCTAAGGCAGGACTTCCCTCAGACTCTGCCTCACTCTCATTATAATCTTCCTTCCTTCCTTTTCCTCTTTTTTCCTTCCCTCTTCATTCTCCTTTCTTCTTCCTTTCCCTCTTTTTTTCTTCCTTAATCTCTTCCCATCTTTCCTTCTTTTTCTTTGTCTTTCCTCTTTTCCTTTCTCCTTTCCTGTCCCTTCTTGCACGCTCAAATGGTTTTGCTTTTAGTTTGTTTTGCCAGCGCTCTGCCAACGAAAACAGAGTTCAGGCCCCGTTTTCTGCTGGGATGGCCTCCTGCAACCGCACAGCCCCCCCCCCCTCCATTTTCAGTGGCAGAGGGCTGCAGGAGGCCATTGCGGCCAAAAACGGCCTGGGAGGGCCATGCACAGCCCTCCCGAGCTCCTTTTTCGCTGGCACCCCGGGGGGCAGTCCTTTCCAGGGCGCCACCACAGGCCAGATCTATGTACCCCGCAAGCTGGATCCGGCGCACGGGCCTTGAGTTTGACACCCCAGTTCTAGTCTGTCATCAGCCATAAAAATTCCTCAACTGATTTTGGGCGCGTTCCAGTGTTGCTTACCTCAAAGAGGATTGTTGGAGGAATAAAACTAAGAACTACCGGTACATGTTCTTTTTGTAATATTGCATCCAGTTTTGGTCACCACAATATTAAAAAAAAAGATGTGGAGACTCTAGAAAGAGGGCAGAGAAGAGCAACAAAAATGATTAGGGGACTGGAGGCTAAAACATTTGAAGAACGTTGCAGGAATTGGCTATGTCACGTTTAATGAAAAGAAGGATTAAGGGTGACATGATAGCAGTCTTCCAATATCTCAGGGGCTGCCACAAAGAAGAGGGAGTCAAACTATTCTCCAAACCACCTGAAGGCAGGACAAGAAGCAATGGGTGGAAACTAATCAAGAGGAGAAGCAATTTAGAACTAAGGAGAAATTTCCTGACAGTTAGAACAATTAATCAGTAGAAATGACTTGCCTCCAGAAGTTGTGAGTGCTCCATCACTGGTGGCTTTTAAGAAGAGATTGGATAACCATTTGTCTGAAGTGATGTAGGGTTTCCTGCCTAAGCAGGGGGTTGGACTAGAAGACCTCCAAGATTCCTTCCAATTCTGCTATTCTGTAATGTTCTCCTTCCACCTATCAGCTCTTTGATGGTCACTTTGACACCAAGATAGGACCTAAAGTTGACAGCGAGAGCTACCAGCGGATTGCTGCAAGCATTGGATGTGCCACCAACAACATACTATTCTTGACGGACGTCACTCAAGGTAATAAAGCTAATGGCTGCTCTCTGGTGTGGTGAGTGGGCACACGTCTAGTTGGTGCTAGAGGCAAGACGAGAGCACGTGCCCTGAAGGTCAACAGCAGCGTGGAGCAAAAGTTTTACAAAAATAATTGCCTTATGTAATTCCCCCTTTAGGGAAGAGGAGCTGTAGAGGAGATGCTTTGGATCTAAAACCAGGGTGGATTTGATTTAAATCGAGTTGATTTAAATCATGATTTAAATCACTAGTAAAAAGGCTTGATTTAAATCAACTTGATTTAAATCATAATTTTTAAAGAGCAACTGTCATCTCTGCTACTCCTTTGACCCACTGTTGACTCACCGATAGTCCCAGTGTTGCAGAATATACAGCCTCATATGCTACATAACTAAGCTCCATTTCATGCTGAATAAACTAAATTATTTATGTATCTTAAATAGAAAACTATCTTACGATAGATTTTTACCCCAAAAGTTTTTTATTAAAATAAATTCGATAAAAATCAAAAAAATCCGATTTAAATAAAAAAAATCCAATTTAAATTTTAAAAATCTGATTTTCTTTTAATTTTTTTTAAAAAATCATTGATTTTTATCCACCCTGTCTAAAACTGATCGGGTTTAATGTTTGACACCACTAGGTGGAGCTTGGAAACCTCTGCCCAGGCTGATGATTTTAAGGCAACCACAATCCACTAAAGTCTGCTGGGTGACTTCCACAGTGTTGGGGTTAGAAATTGCCAAAAAAAAGGAAAGGGGAATATCCCTATTTTAATTCATTCCCACATTTTTAAAAAAATGTCTCTTGCAAATGTGAGAGTAACAGGATTGTTTCTGTGGGCAGGGACTTTCTAATGGGGATGTCAGATTAAGCATTGTTCTCCCTTCCCTAAATTATTGCTTGAAATGGTTTGAATGCATTCTTGTTAGGAATTTTTTTACAAAACTATATTCCAAAGAAATAAAATATTTGATGCTACACATCTTAACAGCAGCACGAATAACGTATGCAAAAAACTGGAAACAGGAAAGAACCCCAATGGAGGAAGAACTAATAGATAAGATCTTAGAATGCACTGAGATGGACAGATTAACAAAATAAATTAAGGAAAAAGAAGAGACAGAATATTATAGAGCAGTGATGGCTAACGTTTTTGCCATCACGTGCCAAAAGTGGCGGAAGTGCGGGGTGGTCACGCGTATGTGTGCCAACACCCATACACAACCCCCCGTGCTCCCCCTGCTTTTGGCACCTGATGGCATGGTGGCCCGTTTTTTGCCCTCCGCAGGCTCCAGAGCCTTTCTGGGACCCTGGGGAGGGTGAAAACAGCCTTCCCCACCCCCTGGATGCTCTCTGTAGGCCGGAAATGGCCCGTTTGCAAACTTCCGGTGGGCCCAGAAGGCCCGAAAATCAGCTGGCGGAGCTCGCATGCCCACTGATACGGCAGGTGGCACGCGTGCCATAGGTTCGCCATCACAGTTATAGAGTATGGAATAAATGGTATAATTGGTTTAAGACTAACAAAGAAGAATAACTATCAGAAGAGAAAAATAAAAGTACAAAATAGAGATGTATCAAATGTGCGGAGTGGAATAAAAATGTATATAATATGAAGGTAGAAATGTATAATAGTAAAGAGATAGATAAAATGTACAGTTCTCTATAGGGGAAAAAAGAGTGGGGGGAAAGGAAAAGGAGGGGAAGAAGACGGAGTAAAAGATTAAGATAAAGGGGAAGAAGAATAAAGTAATAACTGGAAGACCACTATGAAACAATGCTTAAATAAGTTATTTATATGTTGTATGTTGTGTAAATGTCTTAATATGTGTTCTAATAAAATTACAAATTTTTATAAAAAATATTTTTTTAAAAAAGAAATGGTTTGAATGCAGGGATATTTTTTTTTTTTACCGTGTGCTTTTCCCCCCCCCCCCCCCCCCCCCCTCCTTTATAGATAAGCCCCTTACATGTAGTCTTTGACTTACTGTAGCAGGGATCTCCAACTTTAAGACTTGTGGACTTCAACTCCCAGAGGTCTGGCAGTTGAAGTCCACAAGCCTTAAAATTGCCAAGGTTGGAGACCCCTGTACTGTAGGACTGTAATAGAGCCTGCCCACTACAGTTGTAAGTTGTGACAGTTGTAAAACGGAATCGTCTCCTGGCCGACCTGATTTTGCAACCTTTTTTTGGAGGTGGTCGTTCAGCGAATCACCATGGATGTTAAATGAACCCACAGTTATTAAGGGGACACCGCAGTTGTTAACTAAACCTGTTGTTCAACTATGGGGTTGCTTTTGCCAAGACGGGTTTCAGCAAAGAAGTCGTAAATCACAGTCCTGTAATCACTGGACACTGCAAGCAGCCATAGAAGCAACTTGATTGCTGAGTACCCAAAATGTAGTCATGTGACCATATGGGTGTGCAATCATGTGACCATTGGAACTGGGTCATAAGTATCTTTTGGGGCGGTCTGTCATAATTGAACGGTGCTAAGCCGACCCATCGTAAGTTGAGGACTAACTATACAGGTAGTTCTCAACTTACAACAGTTCGTTTAGTGACCGTTCAAAGTTACAATGGCACTGAAAAAGTGACTTATGACTGTTTTTCACGGTTATGACCTTTGCAGCATCCCCATGATCACATGATCAGAATTCAGATGCTTGGCCACTGGCTCATATTTATGACGGTTGCGGTGTCCCAGGGTCACGCGATCCCCTTTTGCGACCGTCTGACAAGCAAAGTCAATGGGGAAGCCAGATCCACTTAACAACCAGGTTACTAGCTTATCCATTGCAGTGATTCACTTAACAACTATGGCAAAAATGTCATCAAATGGGGCAAAATGAACTTAACAAATGTCTCATTTAACAGAAATGTTGGGTTCAATTGTCGTAAATTGAGGACCACCTATAGTTGGTCGTAAGGAAATGGGAAATACAGGTAGTCCTCGACTTACAACAGTTCATTTAGTGACTGTTCCAAGTTACAACAGCACTGAAAAAAGTGACCTATGACCGTTTTTCACATTTACTACCATGTTTCCCTGAAAATAAGACCCTGTCTTATATTTTTTTTTTTTGAACCCTGAAATAAGCACTTGGCCTTATTGCCTTATGATAATAAGCCCGATTGGGCTTATTATCAGGGGATGTCTTATTTTGGGGGAAACAGGGTACCATTGCAGCATCCCCCTGGTCACGTGATCAAAATTTGGATGCTTGGCCACTGACTCGTATTGCAGTGTCCTGGGGTCGTGTGATCCCCTCTTGTGACCTCCAGACATGGGGGAGTCAGATTCACTTCACAACCGTATTACTAATTTAACAACTGCAACAATTCACTTAACAACGGTGGCAAGAAAGGTCGTAAAATGGGGCAAAATTCACTTAAGAAATGTCTTGCTTAGCAACAGAAATGTTGGGCTCCATTGAGGTTGTAAATCGAAGGCTATCTCTACCTGGACCGAACAGATGATACCCTGGAAGTAGTTGGTTCAGTGCTGTCCGGCCATGAGCTATGGTGGCGCAGTGGTTAGAGTGTAGTACTGCAGGCTACTTCTGCTGACTGCCGGCTGCCTGCAAATTTGGCGGTTCGAATCTCACCAGGCTCAAGGTTGCTTCAGCCTTCCATCCTTCCGAGGTGGATAAAATGAGGAGCCAGACTGTTGGGGGCAAGAGGCCCACTCTGTAAACCGCTTAGAGAGGGCTGTAAAGCAATATATAAGTCTAAGTGCTATTGCTATTGTCTAAATGAGCCTCGCTTTGTGTCCTTTAGAAGCAGATGCTGCCGAAGAAGCGGACATGCATGTGGCTGTAGTGATTCGGCCGGGCAACGCAGGACTGACAGACGATGAGAAATCGTATTACAGACTCATAACCTCTTTCAGCGAACTGTTCCTGCCGTCCTCTGCTTAATTTAATTTGCACCTAGGATTAAGGAAGAGGGATGGGGAAAGAGGAGAGGAGCAGCTGAGAAAAATCCTCCTTACCATTTATTGTCATTCCTGCCAGCGATAAAAGAGTCTCAAAAACAGGACTATTGGGCGCCTGACTTCCCCGATGACCCAAAATTGGAACCCGATGGAAAATTTGCCGGTTCTGTGACTGGAGCAAAGTGAAGCTCTCAACAAGGGGCTGCCTTGGTTTTTTCTTTGGATTTGCAAACGGAAAAGTCAAGAGGTGCAACTCAAAGAGAAGGTCCTCCTGTCTTTTGGAGGTCAACCGGTGGGATGCAAAGCCCACCTCCCAGTCAGTTCAAAGGGGCCAGCAGTGAAGACTTTCCTTACAGGATGTGTCTTGGGTATATACTACAAACTCCTCATCTTGTATTGGCGTCACACTTGATGGCAGGTTTTTAAAGTCTTCTGGTCTTCTTGTTTGTAGTGAACGTAGGGGAAATCCAGACTATTTATAGTTGAAAAAAACGTGGCAAGCGGAGCTCTCTGAATTGATTGGTCTTGGGAAAGGGAAGGAAAAAGTAGCACAGGCAGCATTAACTCAATCAAACATGCAAGCTAGTAAGAACATCTGTGCCAACTGGAACATGTTTGCATGTGGAAGGCATGATTGATCCTTTGTCACAAAAAAGTTGCATGATTGCTCAAAGGTTGTCCTTAAACCTGGGGGAAAGGGAGTGCTTTATTAATAATTTTTTTTTCCTGGGATCAAATAGCTGGAAAATTGCATTCTAAAAATCCTGCAGGTTAGTCCTTTACCTAGTGCGCTTGAAGGTGTAACGGATACCTTAATTGTTTTGTGTGGCTTCACTTGTTCCTTTTATGTGCAGCATTTCAAGAGTGGTAAGCATGTCTCAATGTCGACACCGCTTCCTTTTCCTTTTGGTTGGTTTTTCAAGGCCTCCCGAGTGTTTCCAGCAATCCAAAACGGAAATACTTGTCTCTTCAGCATGTTGCACATTTTTATGTTCTGCTAGAAGTGCTATTTTGCTTCCTCAAACCCTACTCCTTCTCACGAAGGATGTAAGGGGGAACAATCCCAAAATCCTATTGAACGGAACTTAATGCCAATATTTGTTTCCATTTGGCCAACCTATTTACCGTGTTTCCCCGAAAATAAGACCCTGTCTTATATTTTTTTGAACCCTGGAATAAGCGCTTGGCCTTATTGTCATGCACTCAAAAGCCCAATTGGGCTTATTATCAGGGGATGTCTTATTTTGGGGGAAACAGGATAGGAGTTACATCCTTGCTTGGAAATGGGCCTATTGTAACAACTGCAAAGCTGGATAAAGTACTGAAATCGTAAGATGTCATCCCAATTTAATTGGAAATGTCCAGAGAATCTAGTAGGCTGCCCGGAGTCTTAACAATGGAACCAAGCACACAATATCTAATTCCAAAATTTGATGTCCTGTATGTATGTTGTGGGCAGCCCTTCCAATACTTGAAGATGTTGTTAGAAATCGGCCTTGCGGTTGTGTTCCAGGTAGAAAGGGCTGATTCTCAGAAATCCCCTATACAATCCATGTACGGTAGGAAAAGTCAGACATGGTATTAAAATTCTTGTGTATTGAGCTTATAAATCCTTTCCCAGTCTGGATGCTAATGGAGAGTGGCTCCATATTACCAATTTAATCAATGTCAATATAGGATTGTCGCCTTGTGGTGCATGTCTTGCCTTTAAATAAAATCTATGACTGAAGTAGAAGATTTGTGTCTGAAAGTAGCTTCAGCTTAGGTTGTTGCCCATAAAATGTGCATTTGTGAGGGGAAAAGTCAACTTTTTATTCTTCACTGTTGATAACTCGTTCAACATCTTTTCAGTTTCCAAGGTATGCCAATGAAGACAATCCTGTCCAAATCAAGGAAATCTCTGCTCTTGTGTCTAAACCTTTAGGTATTTAATTCAGATTTTCCTCAGACACATGTCCTTTACTGAGGCCCAGATCCAGATCAATACAGGTAGTCCTCGACTTACAACAGTTCGTTTAACGACCAAAGTTACAACAGCATTGAAAACAGTGACTCGCAACCATTTTTCACACTTATGACCATCACAGCATTTCCATGGTCGGTGTGATTTACATTCGGATGCTTGACAACTGGTTCATATTTATGACGGTTGCAATGTCCCAGGGTCATGTGACCATCTTTTGGCAACCTGACAAGCAGGGTCAATGGGGGAAGCCAGATGGCTTCATTTAACAACCATGTTATAATTTAACAATTGCAGTGAGTCATTTAACAAATGTGGCAAATCGTAAAATGGGACAAAACTCACTTAACAAATTTCTTGCTTAGCAACTTAAGTTCCGGGCTTAATTGTGGTCATAAATTGAGGACTACCTGTATTACTTACTACTTCTTGCTCTGTTTTTCCGTACTACAGAGCTTAGGAAGAAAAGAGTGCAAATACAGATGGTCCCCACCTTACAATTGTAATTGAGCCTGGAATTACAGCCGTTAAGTCATGCTAAGTCATTAAGTGAGCCTTTGTAGGACCAACCTGATTTTTCATTTTTGCATTTGCAGCAGTCATTAAGTGAATGCCATAGATGTTAAACGAACCATTGTCCACGGTGGGGTTTTTGCCAGAAACAAGAAGTAGATGCCAATTTTCCAACAAAGAATATTGTAAATACAAAAATAAATGAATAAAATTGCAATCATGCAACCATGGGTATTGCAAAAGGACATAAATGTGGACAGGTTGCCGGGCATCCAAACTACGATCATGTGACCAGCGGGAGCAGCCATTTTAACTGAATTCAAGTCATAAGTAGCTTTTTTGGGGGGTCCATCACAACTTTGAATGGTCAGTAAGCGACCAGTTACAAGTCAGGGACTACCTGTACCTTCCCCATGGAGAAAAATGTAAACGTCATATAATTCCCTTTGGCTTTGGCTGAACCATTTCTGGATTATCAGTCTCTTGCCTGCATGAACACAGATGTTTCTGTGAGTATTTGAGCAACAAGGCTATTCTCGGTGGGTTCCTCTGAATATTTTTAATTGCTTGGCATTTGGGCTCAGCTTTATAAAGCAGGCAAGAATGTAAACATGCTGTGTAGGTGCAAGCACAAAACAATACCCAGGCTTTCCATAAAAGAAATTTATTTAGTGGTCACGTGTCAGTATACAGTTATGAAGTCTTTGCTCAAACATATTGAAAAATGTGCCATAAGAAATACTTAAAAGGTATTTACACTATTGTGAAAAAAAGTTGGGTTGCATATTCGATGGAGAGAGAGAGGAAATGTTCACAAAACAATTTTTCCCCTCCCTTTCAGGAAAAAAAATACAAAATATAAATGATACAACATAAACATTAAAAAAAAAGTTCACAATGAATTATTTACAGTAAAACACATTTTAACAGAAACCCATTTAGCTGCTTGTTGGCGGATTTCTTTATGTTTCCAACCTTTTCGTAACTCGAGAAGCACAGCTGTTTTGGATTCCTCTACAGCTGGGGAAAGGAACCTGTTACCCACCAGATGTTTGTAACATAATCTTGCCATTGGCCATCCTGTCCGGAGCTGATGAGAAATGAGTTCCAAAACATCTGAACAGCATTTAGCTATCTACACCTGACTTAAAGCGTCTCTCATCAACCCCTCTAATATAGAAACACTTGTGTATTTTACAATTCTGTGTGCGTTTATGTCCTACATTGAAAACCATTATCACTTTGACAGGTCTCCTATTTCTAATTATTAAACTTAAGCTTTTCACCCAATTCACTGCTCTCTCTGTTAAATATTTTCTGACTCCTATTTCAAGCATTCACTATCTCACATCGAGATTCTGGCCCCATTCTTGAAATTTAATATTTTGGACTTAATCCAATTTATGTTCCAAGCTCCCTACCTCCCCCTCATTTCTGTTCAGCGAGAATTAACTCTGATGTAAAAGTAGATAGGATTGTGTGGCAAACCATTTCATCCCAAAAATCTATACCTTCAAGTGTAGTTATATGATTATTCCATATGGCAAATTAGCAACTTTTCAATTGCCCCTTTACAAGCTCCTTGTTATTGCTACTTGGTTAACGTTCCAACATCTTCTGATCTTGTTTTTTTGCCGCTTCAAACCACGTTACACTTTTCTCCTTAAGTAACAGTTCTAACCCACAGCTTCACATTGGCGTAACTAGTCTTAAAATTCCAGCATAGAAACATCTTCCAATCTCTGAAAAAAAGATGGATGTAAATATACAGGCCATATATAGGGGAAAAGAAAACTCATATGCAACTTGGAAAAATTTAGAAAGAGGATTTTGCAGGACAGGCCCTTGAGATTCCTGCCTCGATGCAAATATTAAAGGCTCAGAAACAATCCTATCCTATCCCAATCCTAACAAGCCCATCATTCATCCATTCACTGGGCCCCAGAGGGAAGCCGCATAAAAATGTTCCTGTTTCTTTGTGTTCTTGTTCTCCAAGTCAGTGAGAAGTGAACCTGTTTTCAGTATAAAGGGTGGCAAAAGCACCAGAATATGGGAAGGCAAGTAGGCTGACAATCCAAGCCCTGGTTTTTGTGAGATCAAGCACCATCTGCTCACACACTATAATGGATCAGGCTGCAGTAAAATTGGCAGTTCCTTTCAAAGAATCTGAAATGCAGAAAACAGGAGGGAAAGAGAACAGTGCACTTCAGCAGACAACTGACCCCAGAAACTCAGTAACACGGGAAACTGGTTTGCAAACCTCCACAAATAATAGCCATGGGAACTGTAGATTCCACGGCCAAATGTACAGGTTATAGTAAAGCTTATACACAAATGATCTGTAAGATACTAGCCGTGGTATCACAATCATAACCCTGTCACAATCGTAGCCTCTCTTCTGTATGTTGTATGCATAGACACCAGATGCAGCTTGCATTGCAACTTGACACTTGGTTTTGTAAATCTGGATACACCTCCTCCACCCAGTGGATGCCCTTATGATAGGTCCACAGACCATGGTTGCTGCATGATCCTGGTCTAAAGCTTATTGCAGGTAACATGACCCTCGCCACTTTTTATAGTCACTCAAGGTGCAGCTGCATATACTGTACGTATGGATAGCAGTCATTCATAGTTCTCTACCTCTTTTTGCGTAACATAACGATATAATGCAAAATTAAGTTCTGCCAGCCAGTCACGAGAGAACTATGGGGAACAAACCTAAACCCAACATCTCCTACCGTGTTATAAAATGTCTTAAGCAACCAAAAAAAAAAAAAGGAGCAAAGAGGTAGTGTAGACAAAATGTTTCAAACTGAGCCCTTTCGAGGACCAAGCACCCTGTCCTAAAAGTGTGACAACTATTCTAAGCGAGAAGTGGGCTGTTTTGAACATAGAGGAAAATGTGCCAGCAATGCTCCGCCTTGAGCCCAGAAAATGTGCAGGAAGTTTCCCGCTTTGCGCTTGAAACAGCCATTTTGCATTTGAGGGAGGATCATTTGAGAAAAGGTGCTCTTTTTCCCCCCAAAAAAAACAACTGGATTTTTTATTCCTTGAAGACGTTTCACTTCTCATCCAAGAAGCTTCTTCCGTTCTGACTGAAGAACTGAAATGAACTGAAGTCAGAACGGAAGAAGCTTCTTGGATGAGAAGCGAAACGTCTTCAAGGAAAAACAAAGCCCATTTGGGACAACCATGATCTGGGTGACAGAATCTCCACAGAATTTTGACGCAGGGTGTTCGTGCTCAAACCGAAAGCGATTCAGTTGAAAACATTTTGTGAATCCATGCAAAGAGGCATCTTATTCTTTCTTCAGAAGAAAGTTTGGGCGATTGCAGAGATAAATTAGCAAAAAAACCCAAAATTTAAAACACGGTAAATGAAAGGGGCCGTGAGTTCAATCCTTGGACATCAAACATCATCCACCTGGTCAGTTGGGAGTTGGGTTACACCTGATCTGTTTGATACTCGGAGGCTTCAGAGAGGCTTTCAGAGAAGCTGAGGAAATTCTCTTGGTACTCGGAGCAAATGATCTCGAACCGGTAGTGTCTGAATTCCACCGCGAAGGAGCCGAAGAAACATAGGAAGCACATCACCATTCCCCACTGGATCCGTGACGCATGCATGTGCAACTTAAACTCATTCATCAAAATGAAATCTGAAGGAGGGTCAAGGAAAATGCACAGAAACATACACAGTAAGAGGAGCAAACATTGAAATGCCTCTTGGAATCAGGGCTATACCCAGGAGTGGGCTGCTGGGGGTTTGCTGAGGTTCGGGCTGCTGGGGGTTCGCTGAGGCCCGCCCTACCCCTCCTAGGAGTCCCCATGCGGTCTTTTTGGATGCAGGTTAAGTGCAGGGTGTGTGCGGAGGCTCGGGGACAAAGGCGAAAAAAGGACCACCGGAAGTTCGGAAATTTCCTCCAGAGGGCCTGGGGAGGCTGTTTTTGCCCTCCTGGAGGCTCAAGGAAAGCCTCTGGAGCCCAGTGAGGGCAACCCCCCTCCGTCGTGATGAAGGAGACTGGCTAGGCCACGCCCACCATGGCCACACCCACCCAGCAACAGGGCAGAGAACCCCTTGCTAAAAGTTTTGAAGCCCACCCCTGGCTATACCTGAAACCTACATTCCATCAAACTCACTCCTGATCATGACAAGCAACATTAAAGGCAGTCCTTGACTTACAACCATCTGTTTAGTGATGGCTCAAAGTTACATTGGCACTGAAAAAAATAACTTATGACCGGGGGGGGGGGGGGTGTGATCTCCTTTTGTGATTTTCTGACAAGTCAATGAGGAAGCCAGATTCACTTAACAACTGGGTTACTAACTTAACAACTGCAGTGATTCACTTAACAACTGTGGCAAGGTCATAAAATGGGACAAAACAACTCTCTCGCTTAGCAACAGAAATAGTTGGCAGAATTGTAAGCTCAATTTCATATTGCTTATTCAACCATGGTTTGCAACTTTGTTAGTCCTAAGAACAAAACCATATCAACAAGCAACTAAGGTAAGCAACTGGAAATGTTATTGCTTGGCTGATAAGACTTGTCCAGATACTGCTGCTTGTGTTTTTTTTTCCCCACAGTATATATTCATTAACACAAAGATTAGATATCAGTAGTGGCCAAAATTGTGGAAACCTTTTGGGAAAAGTGTGTTTTCTAAAACTAGCTAATAACACCACTTTTTTGGGGAGTAGTACCATAAAATTATATATCAATGGAAAGATAATCAAGAATGCAATGCAATAACTTTTATGAAGGATTTGCTATTAGAAGAGCAGTTACAGTATAAAGAAGAAAAGTGAAACACGTAGAAAAAACGAGATATACAAAAATGATCACCATGTCAGTTAATACTTAGTTGGGTAACCTTTAGCATGAATTATGGCCTTACAACGTCTTCCCATGGAGTGAACCAAGTCTTTGAGTTCTACAGCTGTTATAATGTGAAAACCAAGATTGAAGGATGGCTTCTATTAACTGGGTTTTATTGCTGGGTCGCTTCTGACTAACAAGTTTCTTTAGTCGGCTCCATAGATTTTCAATTGAGTTAAGGTCTGGGCTATATTCCCAGGCCATTCCAGCAGTGGAATATGATTATCTTGAAACTCCAAAAAAAAAAGTGGTGTTATTAGCTATCAAACCTCAAAAATACACTTTTCCCAAAAGGTTTCCACAATTTTGGTCACTACTGTATGTTACAATAAAGGTAAGTTTCTCAGGAAGACAAGGCGTGTGCCAATTCAATAATATGCCATCAGACTGATTGTGATTAGGGTAGAGTTCCTTAAGTAGTATTTTGCACAACCCAAAAGTTCTACAAGAATTTAATAAGGTATAGCATATGTGGCAGATTAAGGGCAAAAAAGGATGAATAAATAAGTTCTTTCAAACACAGCCAATTTCTTTTTTATAATCTCAGAGATGTCTCTGGTGTAGGCAATCTGGGAAAATTTTCTTTCTAACTATCAGATTCCACAGCCTAAATAGGTTTGGAAATCTTTGACATAAAGCATTAGATCTGGAATTTTCAACAGCACAAACTCATATTCAGGACCTCCTTAAAAAATGATCTCATCAAGAAAAGAAACAGAGTATTTCCTGTGGGTTATTTCCTCAGGCTGTAGGAACTTCCCAGCGGTCAATGTGTTAGATTGAAATTTTCATAATTGCACAATACTGTCTTGCTGTTAGAATCAATTTGAGTTCAGGGCTGCACATTTTCCATTCCTTTTCTAGGGAGAGAACATTTCACCGAAAAATCCAAATAGAATTTGAAAATTTAGATACACATGAACGTTGAAATGCTAAGAAAAATATCTAGCAATTTTTCCCCCATTGAATGATGAAACTATTAAACGTAGAGACGTCCTGTCTGTTCTCTGCACTTCTCATGTTGATACACCTGTATTCACACAATACGGACAGCCCCAAAGTGCTACCAAAGAATGCATATAAGAAAAAAACATATGAAGAACGCCTGCAGAAACTTGGTATGTCTAGTTTAATGGAAAGAAGGACTAGGGGAGACATGATAGCAGTGTTCCAATATTTCAGGGGCTGCCACAAAGAAGGGGGAGAGTGAATCTCTTCTCCAAAGCACCAGAGGGCAAGACAAGAAGCAATGGGTGGAAACTAATCGAGGAGAGAAGCAACCTAGAACTAAGGAGAAATTTCCTGACAGTGAGAACAATTAACCAGTGGAACAACTTGCCTCCAGAAGTTGTGAATGCTCCAACACTGGAAGATTTTAAGAAGATGTTGGATAACCATTTGTCTGAAAAGATATAGGGTTTCCTGCCTAAGCAGGGGGTTGGACTAGAAGACCTCCAAAGTCCCTTCCAAACTCTCTTATTCTAAATGACAAGGCAAAAACATGGCCATGTTATTGCAACCCCATTGCGCCGAACTTTTGACCAAGATTTCAGCTTACTCTGCTGTCCAAACAAAAAAAAAGTATTTTAGGCTTTGTGGAAAATAAGAGTTTGAAATAAAAATATATGGATGTATGTATAAATCTGGAATGGTGGATATTTCAGGCTCAAGTCAACATGGTACACCTAAAATTTTAATTAAGCAGCTATGTGTGATGAACAGGGTGAGAATAAGATTATAGCATCTGCAAGTTCATTAAGTGGACTTTGCAAAAGTTTATATTGCACCTAAATCCCTGCTTTTCCAGAGTCTTTTTAAGAAGTAAATCTGTTACATCAAGAACAAAGATTTTCAAACTGTGATTAAGGGTGAAATAATAATAATTAGCGGCTGCAAGAAGATCGCACATCCTGGCTACGAACAACAGCATGACAAAATAGCAACAATGGTTCATTGGAAGTTCTGCAAGAAATATCACTTGCCTGCAAGCAAAAATTGGTGGGATCACAAAACAGACAAACTGGTAGTAAATTAAGACGCTAAAGTGCTCCGGGGACTTTAGAATCCAAACAGACAAGCATCTGCCACACAACACCCCAAACTTAGCCATTTTTGATAAGAAAGACAAAGAAGTCTGCATGGTGAACATTGCAATTCCTGGAGATAGCAGAACAGAAAAGAACGAATGGGGGAGAAGGAATCACAAAATATGCATATAAAAGTAGAACAAGTGTGACAAAAGAAAGAAACGTGGTACCATGAGTGACATGTGCCTTGGGTGCAATCCAGTGATGAAATCCAGCAGGTTCTGGAGAACTGGTAGCGGAAATTTTGAGCAGTTCGGAGAACTGGCAAATACCACCTCTGGCTGGCCCCAGAGTGGGATGGGAATGGAGATTTTGCAGTATCCTTTTCCTGCCACGCCCACCAAGCCACACCACGCCCACCAAGACACGCCCACAGAACCACTAGTTAAAAAAATGGGATTTCATCACTGGAGCAATCCCAAAACATTTGGAGCACCAGTTAAACACCATCAGTCAAAAAAAAAATCACCATCAATCAATTGCAAAAGGCAACTTCGTATGAACTGTTTATGACATTACCCTTTAACACCATCACTGTGCACCAACTATAATAATTCAAATGCCACTAATTTTTAAGCACTAAAGCTTTGTTCCTTCAAATATTGAAACGTGGCAAGTTTGAAAACCCGTAATCTGGGCCATTTGGCTTTAAAATGGGGCCTTCTCCAAACATCAAATGAAGCACATGAAAAAAGCCACAGAACTGAATTTAGGAACAATCCAGAAACAGCTTATCAGGATGCAAGCTAGTTTTTTTTTTTTTAAAGCAATACTTTCATTTTGAAAAGGGAAAAAAACCCCCAAAACTGAAAGGATACAAAGGACTAGGCAGAGTGTTATTGCTGCTGACAAAATCACTCGTGGGATTCCAGCTTTTCTACCTTCGTTCTTCAAGTTTATTTTGAGGGTTAGTGCGGACTGAATCCAACAGGCCATAGTGCCGAAACCAAAGGCCAAAAAGGTGCCAACGTTATGTATTTCTTCATCATTGGAAAGCTAAAAAGAACACAAAACATGTGACTTTGGTTAATACACCCAGTTAAAAAAAAACACTCAGCCAACTTTTCCTAAGAATTCCACTTTCTATTGCTCAACTCAGAATGCCCTAATATATCTGCAATGTTTATTGGGACAGAGGCAGGTCTTTGCTTTCTGTTCCCAATAATTATTTAGTTTATCTCTCGACTTCCAAACCGATACATGCAATCCTCATTTTAAGGACTGTAGCTGAGCCCAGAATTATAGTACTAAGTCATGCCGGTCATTAAGCCGGTTTCCAAGTGACCTACCGAATTTTATGACCTTTTCTTCCTGTTTAACATTTCATTGAGTTATAAAATATTGTAAAATACAAAATAAAATAGAAAACAAGTGGGGAGGAAAAGGGGGAAGAGAAGTGAGGAAGGATAAGAAAAAAAAGAAAAAAAAAAGAAACATTGACTTCAGACTCTCTCTGTTGCAGTAAAATAATATTAAATCACAACTTTTTGCTTTTTCATAATAATATGAACAAGCCATTTCTGTAATGATCTATCAATCGAATTGGTTAAAACCCAAAATCAAAGTTTCATTCTTTTCCACTTCAAGCACGAAGTTCAGAAGCGGATTTTATGACTTTTTCTGAAGTAGTTGTTTAGAAAACAGGGCAGCTTTTACGTCATTGCCTGCAGTGGGTGTTTTTGCCAAAAACCAGAAGTTCAAAAACATTGTAAATCACGGGTGTCAAACTCAAGGTCCGCGGGCCAGATACGGCCCGCGGAGTGCTTAAATCTGGCCCGTGGGGCTGGCCTGGAAATAGCAAAGGACTGGCCCGCAGTGCCTCCGGCACCCAAAATGGAGCGCAAAGGGGCCACACACAGACACCTCCCCTGCCCCGTTTTGACCAGCAAAGTGCTGCAGGAGGCCATCTAGGCTGAAAACGGGGCACAGGGGAGCACGCATGAACCCCACACACCCCGTTTTGGCCGGCAGGGTACTATAGGAGGCATCCGTCCCATCTCCTCCCCCCTGTCCCATCTTCCCCCCATCTCCTTCCCACCCCCGGGCTGGCTCGTGGAGGAGAACTACAATGCAAATCCAGCCCTCGAAGAAATCCAGTTTGACACCCCTGTTTTAAATTGTGGTCATGTGACCATAGAATGCTGCAAATGGCTGTGAATACAGGCTGGTTGCCAAGCGCCAAAAATGTGATCACATGACTAGAGGGGCAGAATTCAAATCTGGGTCATAACCTGGAGAAGCGACTGGTTATAAATGGAGGACTACCTACAGGTCTTACATATTTGGAGCTATGAGTTAAAGGATGTTGACATTCTTATGTCATTTCCGAAGAAGACCAAAAGAGATCACTGAGACAGTCCCACCTTTTCATCATCTCTTATACTTATCCCAGATAATGTTGGTACTAAGTAGATGGAGACTGCCTATGGATTCTAACTGCTCATACTGATCTATTAAAACTAGGCATATTTTACAATCTTGCCACATAAGCTGGATTTCAGATTTGCTGGCCTGACAGATTTTCATCTCTTAATAAACCACAGTCCTATTCTTGTCAAATCCATCTGTCTTGTTTCTTGCGCTCATTTCTTGTTTATTTATGGACTATTACGAATTTGCCAAATGTCTCAGGTGCCTGGAGCCAAAAAAAGTAATACAGGAACTTTTATGGCTTGATCCCAATCAATATTTTGGCCCATGCAAATACAATTTATGTATATCCAGGCAGCCAGGCATGCTCAATGGATCCTGCCCTTCTGCCATATAGTTTTCCTACAGAAGAACTGAAGGAAGTTCAGAAGAGGCTTGTGTTGCTGAAGCCAGACAAATGTCACCGAAAGATCTTGCTAAGCACACAGTTACCTCCGTGGTCTAGCATAATGGCTTAGTCAATTCAGAATAAAGCCATTTATAGGTAACTGGGACATTTATTAAATGGGACAGGAAAAAAGAGTTCTGGATGCTGTAAGCTGTAAATCATAATTTGCTTGACTACATTTTATTGAATAAACCATAATAGTTTATGCAAAAAGGAAAGCCTTAAACCATGGCTAGGTATAATGGTATGTGATCTTGGAGCCTGGGCAAAGAATCACTGCCAAGGAAAAAAAATAAAGGTTTTCCCTGTCTACTCGTTTCTGCCTCTAGGGGGCGGTGCTCATCTCCATTTCTTAGCCGAGAGAGCCAGTGTTGTCTGAAGACGTTTCTGTGGTCATAGCAATAGCACTTAGAGTTATATACTGCTTCATAGTGCTTTTTATAGCCCTCTCTCTAAGCAGTTTACAGAGTAAGCCTATTGCCCCCAACAATCTGGGTCCTCATTTGATCCACCTCGGAAGGATGGAAGGCTGAGTCAACCTTGAGCCTGGTGACATTCGAACTGCCGAACTGCAGCTAGCAGTCAGCTGAAGTAGCCTGCAGTACTGCACTCTAACCACTGCGCCACCTTGGCTCTATCTGGCCAGCACGACTATAGTTTGACTATATGCCGAGGCCCATGGATTACCATTCCACCAAAGTGGTACCTATTTATCTACTCGCATTTGCATGTGTTTGAACTGCTAGGTGGGCAGGAGCTGGAGCAAGTAACGGGAGCTCACCCCATCACATGGCACTCGGGTCTCAAACCCAGGCTGTCAGCTTTCCAGCTATTTATCTATTTATCTATTTTACCTATTTATCTACTCGCATTTGCATGTGCTTGAACTGCTAGGTGGGCAGGAGCTGGAGCAAGTAATGGGAGCTTACCCCATCACATGGCACTCGGGTCTCAAACCCAGGCTGTCAGCTTTCCAGTTGATAAGCTCAGCGACTTTAACCCTCTGAAACATCAACAAGGGAATGACCAGATAAAAACTAGCATAACCCACAACAGGATAGTTAATGGGGGCAAGGGGCTCAGAAGAGACCCTTCCTAGTTTCTCAGGCTGTAAAGGAGACGTGTGTGTGTGTGTGTGTGTGTGTGTAAGGACTGTACTTTCAGACTTGCAAGATTCTCTCCACCATAAAGTTGAATTAACTCATCTTGTTGTGGTTCCTATTTGGTTTATCCCAGGAGATCAACACTAGGTTTATGTAACACACTAATCCAAAAACAACAAAATGATGTTACCGCAGAATGAAAGGTGTGACCCCGCCCCCTACCAGTAAGGAGGAGAAAACAAAATACCTGGAAGTTGCCCAGAAGGGTCATTCCAAAAGAAGCCAAGCAAAAGGCCACCAAGCCACTGACATTGAGCCATGGAGTCAAAACCTTTGGCTTTAGCTGAATGAAGCGGAGGACAGCTATGACCAGTGCTGAAAATAAAGAGAAAAAAATTGGTGACACAGCTCTGCAATTTTAACTTTCACAATGAAATTAACGTCCAAGTAAAGACCCATTTGGGTTTACATGGACAGGTATTGTCACTTATTGCGAAACAACTGTTAGCAGAGGTTAAACAGCCCCAAAATGAATTCTCCCTTTAACTTTTTTTTTTTTTTTTAATTTGATTTATATGCCGCCCTTCTCCGGAGACTCAGGGCGGCTTACAATGCGTTAAGCAATAGCCTTCATACTTTTGTATATTTATACAAAGTCAGCTTATTGCCCCCACAAACTGGGTCCTCATTTAACCTACCTTAGAAAGGATGGAAGGCTGAGTCAACCTTGAGCCTGGTGAGATTCGAACCTGCAGTAATTGCAGGCAGCTGTGTTAATAACAGGGTGCTTTAAACCACTGTACTACCAAGGCTCTTTGTGGATGACTAAACCAGTAAACCAGTAACTAGCACCAGTTCCCCCACTCCTCTCCCCATGTGATCAGAAATGTATAACTGAGTTTGCACACAAAGCTTAACTTCGTTTTGGAGTCAGCCTTTTTCTGCATTTATACGATTTTCTGCATTTATACTAAGCAAATGGGCTTGGCTCACACATGCTAAAGAATAACCTAACCAGTGGTGGGATTCAAATTTTTTTACTACCGGTTCTGTGGGCGTGGCATGGTGGGTGTGGCATGGCATGGTGGGCGTGACAGGGGAAGGATACTGTAAAAACTCCATTCCCTCCCCACTCCAGGGGACGGTGCCTGCAAAATCCCCATTTCCTCCCAATCAGCTGGGACTCGGGAGGCAGAGAATAGAGGGGGGCAGGGCCAGTCAGAGGAAGTATTTACCGGTTCTCCGAACTACTCAAAATTCCCGCTACCGGTTCTGCAGAACTGGTGCGAACCTGCTGAAACCCACCTCTGTATCTAACTAAATCTCTAACTAACCTGGTATGTGAGCATTACAGCGCATAACAAAACAAATCACTTGTTATATTTTTGCAGCGTCATCACTTCTCCTGGCCACACATGGGGAGCTGAACACTTGCAGAAGGGAACATAGCATATAGTGTAAAATAGGGGTCCCCAACCCGAAGGGGACAGTTCTCTATTGAGAACTGTGCTGTGCGAGAGGCGGCCGGTGGGGGGGGATGTGAGCTGTGCGTGCGTCCATGCACATGCACATCAGCCCACCATTCATGTGGCCCAGTTCCTCTCTTCTCTACACCCTCCCCCGGCCAGGCCACCAAGCCGCTGATGTAAAATCTTGATGACCTTAGAGCAAGTTTCTAAATTTTGCAGGAAGCTCACACATATTAAAAAAGACTCCCTACCACAGAGATCCCGCTCCCAAATCAGAAGTGGTAGAACTGGGTAAATACATATTAGTAAAAAACAGGAAAAATAAGGACTTTGTGTCTGCTCTTTCACAATGTCTTTCTGTGAACTACAATATCATTCCAATTCGACTGCCGCAAAACATCTGCATAGATAATTGATTGTTTATCTTAGTAATTATGCGGCCCTGTTTCTCCATCTCAGCAACTTTAAGATATCTGGACTTCGACTTCCAGAATTCCTCATCCAGCATGGTTTGTGTCAGTGGTGGGTTGCCGCCGGAACCGGTAGTAAAACCGGAGGGAGGCCCTGCCCACCGCCCCGGATGTCGTCATCAGCGATCTGCGCATATGCAGAAGTAAGGCATGCGCGCAAGCCCATTGCGAACCGGTGGTAAAGGTAAGTAGAACCCACCCCTGGTTTGTATGCTCAATCTCTTTTTTGAATGCATGTACAGGTAGTCCTTGACTTACAACAGTTCATTTAGTGACGGTTCAAAGTTACAACGGCGTTGAAAAAAAGTGACTTATGGCTGTTTCTCACACTTACCACGGCTGCAGCATCCCCACGGTCACAAGATCAAAGCAACTGACTTGTGACGGTTGCAGTGATTCCCTTTTGTGACCTTCTGACAAGCAAAGTCAATGGGGAATCCAGTTGTTAGTAGCATAATTGTTATTACTAACTTAACAACTGCAGCAATTGACTTTACATCTGTGGCAAGCAGATTGCCAAATGGAGCAAAACCCATTTAACTACTGTCTTGCTTTAGCAACAGACATTTTGGGCTCAATTGTAGTTATAAGGTGAGGACTACTGATACAGTACAGTACAGCGCAATGCTTTCTGGAATATAATTTCTAAGAGTCATTTCATTTTCTGCAAGAATAGCCACAGGTTTACACAAATCATAATAGTGAAGCTGCTTCACCTTCAGACTAAGTATGGGGTCTTAAAATCATGGATTTTTAAACAGCCCTTGGAACAAAACACTAACTACACATTGACATTTCCACGCTGGCAATGCAACTAATAAATGCTTATATTTATCAGACTTGTGGTTAATGTAGGAGTTAAAGGGAAACACACTGATTCAGACCAACAGCTTGTTTTCAAGTGGCTAGGCAAACATTTCTGAGAAGCCTGCAAGGAAAATAAAGAAACAGTATTCTGCCTTTTGCTTGGCTTCTGCACTTAACACTGTATGACAGGCACGATATCTCAGAAATTAGAAGCTGTGTTGATCAACATCGGCCAGCAGCAACTGAAAAATCAATTTTCCTCTAATCTTACCACAACAGGGCATTCATCCATGAACACCTCGTAATGGTAAAAGCAGATCAACGACAGGCCTAATTTCTGAGAGTGGTAGTGGTTTTAATGGTTTTTTAACCATTTATAAGTGGGTTTAATGGTTTTTTAACATTTGTATTACATATATTTTATCTTTTGGCTGTTCACCGCCCTGAGTCCTTCGGGAGTAGGGCAGTATATAAATACAATAAACTAAACTAGCTAAACTAGTCAACTTCTTTCTCCTGGACACGGCCAAGCAGAAGGGCCACTTAAGTGAGGATATTGAGCAAAGAGTTTGTCTCAATGTCCTAAGACTCATTTGTGGGGGAAATATGGAACCTTGCTCTCTAGCTCTGTCCATGTTGGTCCTTTTCCTCTTACTACAAGGTGATCAGTGAAGCCCTGGAGGATTTAGGTTCTTCAGAAGATTTAGTACTTTGCAGGTTCAGCCATACAAGAATCACTGCTAAATGAATTTCTTGTATCCAACACTTTTGTTCCACTCTTGACAGAGAGGCTGGCAGGAGACATCATCATGGAGTTAAGACCATCAAGACTGTTCCTGAGTAAGAAGGCATTGACAAGGCTTTATTGTGGTTACTATTTATTGTGGTTACTATTTATTGTGGATACTATACTAAGTGCTGAGTATAATCAATTCTCAGAATTATGAAAAATACCATGCTTCCCCAAAAATATTTAACCGCATGCGCAGTTGGTCCCCGCCATTTCCTCTAGTTAGGGTTAGGGAGACAGAGCTGGAAATCAGGTAAGACAGCAAGAGGAGCCCTGTCTTGTTCCAGGCGTCCCAAAATAATAAGACCTCCCAAAAATAAGGCCAAGCGTTTATTTTGGGGTTCAAAAAAAATAAAAATAAGATAAGGTCTTATTTTCGGGGAAACACGGTAATTATCTAAAGTCTTTTGTGCCTATCTATATGGGAAGAGTGACCAACCGCCCAGACAAGGAAGAGTTACATATAAATGGTACATTATTATTGCTGTTATTAAATACACACTCACCACCGTGTGATGTTCACACACATGCAGAGTTCTTAAACAACAGAGTCTGTAAATGCCTCATGCAAACCAATAATAATAACTGAAGATGCGGATTTTTAAAAAAATTTCACATATGAAAAAACAATATGAAGGCACTCATGGGACAACATTAGAATACTTAACAACACATTTTTATAGGTCTAGTTCCTGCTGAGGTAGTAAGCTTTAGGTCTGATAGGGCTCCCCCAAAAAAGCATCATGTGGTAGCTTCTTCTCAACATTATTGCCCACCAACAATCTATCACTAATGACAGACAGCAGAATTTTCATCTTCTATTTTAATTACCCATAATACTTGGATATGATGTGATTCCAGAGCTTGGTGGAACATTTTAAATGGCAGCCAGCTCACAACAATCTGCAGAGAGATATTAAAAAATGTGACCACCCCGTACAGTAGGACAGGCCCAATTTCAAGCAAATTTTTGAGTTTAAAGATTCCAGTTATTTTCACTCTACCTGGAATCTCTACCTATCCTATGTAAGATGAGGCTATAAATAGGGACTGGATGTAGTGTCCATTACCAATTATTGACTAAAATCACACTAAAGCGTTAATGTGTCAGGGAAAATGAAATCACCTAGCATTATCCTAGACATGCTCACTTTCTTTTTTCTATAATAACTGGAGGATGTGATTGTTTTTAGCCCAAACCCAATTTTACCACCTCAGAAAGAATTTAGCCCTTGTAGCTTGCTGCTCACTAAGTCTCAATGACATGGATTTGGCTGAAACAGGAGATTCTCTAGAATGAATTAGAAGAGATTAGGAAAAAAAAAAAGCCACACATTCTTCATGCAACGCCTACCTAGGAATGCTGCCATGTTCATGACTTGGCTAAATACACAGCTAGCAGGAGGGACATCACCTGCAATACTTCAAAAATAGAATGTGTTTCATTGTAAATCTACTAAGAGGCAAATAAATCAATTTAAAATAGCATAGGGTAGAACAAGCCTTGTTGGGGAAAAGAAGAGGGGATAAGAGAAGAGAACGGACAAGGGGATGATTACCTTATATATGGCGGCTTTAAAGAAGTTGGTTTGCTGCGGGACACAAAAGGAAAGTAATCACACCTAAGTCAGAACGACAACATTAGTCATTTGGTGCTGTTGAACTTGCTTTGCATAGAAATACCTAGTTTTAGACAAATGATCTACTTTCAAAGAAGATGAAACAGAGCTCCGATTGCAATCTACCCAAAACATCTACAGCAGTCTTCTCCAATTTGGGCATCTTGGCATGTGGACTTCTACTCCAGCACTGTTGAAGGTAGGAGAACCTCTAAAGTTCAGAATCCACATATTTAGAAATGCATAGGGGGGGGGGGCTTTTCACCCTAAATAACAATTTCTATAAGTTCTGGTTCTGAACTCTCAGGAAATTCTTTTTGTGAGGTACTTTCCAACTTTAAGATGCCCCAAGTCTCCTTCTGCATTCACTTCTCCCACCTGTTTCTACTCTCTTGAGAGCTGGTCTCCATTTCTGAATGAAGTTGTGTGGATATGTATCAACTGCCTATCCTGGAGAGCCGTGATGGTAAGCAAGGGCCTACATCAAATAGTTCTTCTCATAATTTTTCTTTCACCTCAGCACTCAGTATGGGGCTTATAATTAGATTCTTCTCCCTGAATTGCGGGGTTATTGGTGGTCTCCAAGTTTTGCAACAAAACCATCAAGCTCAGAGAACACTAAGGATCCTACAATTCAACTCTGAGCTACAAATATTCTCTTCTATCTCTCCCTGAGTTGCACAGGAAGAATGGTGGAATTCCAACTCCTTCCAAGCATGGCATAATGCCTCTTCTTCTTACTCTGCCAGTCATGTATGGGTGTATTTGTTTGAATTAGATTAGACATTCTTTGGTGCTGGAGCAAAAGAAAAGGAAGGAAACTCGGCAGGTATTTGTGGTCTAAGCTGTTTGCCAGGCTTTACAGATTGCTCTTAAAACTCACCTTGAGAGTCTCTTTCTCTATCAGTTCCTCTATCCTAATTCCTCTTATCGGTTGTGCAAATGGTATTTGCTTTTTCAAGCTATTTTGCATATACACTGGTTCTTCTGGTGGCAATATTTTATTACCCTGTTTCCCCGAAAATAAGACCCAACCAGAAAATAAGTCCTAGCATTATTTTTCAGGATGCTCGTAATATAAGCCCTATCCCCAAAGTAAGCTCCAGTTAAGGTTGTCAGCCAAATGGATGCATTTAGTACCGTATTTTCCCCAAAATAAGACCTAACCAGAAAATAAGCCCTAATGTGTCATTTGGAGCAAAAATTAATATAAGACCCGGTCTTATTTTGGGGGAAACATGGTCGTAAATTACCTTTGCTGGCTCAATGTAATTATATCATCCTTCAATATACAGTGGTAGCTTGGTACTTGACTGCTTCAAAACTCATTGAATTTGGTACTCAACACATTCCAACGTGAAAATGTTATCCTAGTACTTGCTGTTTGTTTGAACCTCGACGCGCTGCAATAGGAAAAGGGGGGCAGCCACGGAGAACACACAGGAAGTCGGCCATGCTAGGAAAATCACTGCAAAAGGAAGAAGGGAACCGCTGCCAGAGGTCGGACAGGAAGTCGGTCAATCTGAGAAGATCACTGATATAGGAAAAGGGACAGACAGGAAGTGTTCCTGGCCAAAACAAAGGGTCACACGATAAGTCACGTGGTTTGTTTGGCACTCATCCTTTTAGTACTTGCCGCATCTCCTGGAACCAATTAATGACGAGTACCAAGGTACCACTGTATCAGAAATGGCTGACTTGCTCCCTATACTGTATATTCCATCTCTCCTTGTCCTCATTCTTCTTAGAGTTTACTTCTTTAATTTCTATATCAATACACATGTTACATTCTGGAGAGCATAAGGTTTACAAGGCATGATGATAATCAAGACCAGCTACATTCTCTGGGCTCCCATTTGGTAACTGTTTGGAATATTGCCCCAAAAATAAAGCGAAGAAGAAAAAAGTAGACTCTTGTGCTATATGGCTCAAAACTATGAGAGGCTAGTGACCAAATGCACTATCAAACAAGCTGAGCATCTTATATTTGTTTTTATCTACTTTCAGTGTGCCCACCCTTGGCTGTTTACATCATATTGGGTTATTGATAGAGAATAGGCTAATGCCCATGAAGCTCTCAGCTAGGGCTGGCAAGGGCTTCGGAGTCAGTTCCTCAAAGGTTGTTCAAAGTGGATGGGAGCAAAATTACAGCACTCATCTGCAACTCTTTAAAGCAGCCATGTCTTTTTCTGGGATCATGCAGCTGCCATCCCCAGAAAAGACATGGCTACTTTCAAGAGTTACAGATAGTGGTGATCTTCGCAGACTTGTGTGTTTCAAACAGCTCTTAGGAATTAAATCCAAAGCACTGCATAGCCTTATTAAAAAACACTAAGATATATACTGGAACTCAAGTTAATAAAAAAGGCTTTTAAAAAAACACTTCACGCTTAAAGGAAGCTAATTCTGTTTTATTATACCGGTAGATGGAGTAAAAGCTCCTAATACTGTTTTGGAAATGAAATTGGTGAAGCCTTCAAATGCCAAATAAGAAGAAAGGAAATACATATTTTTTAAAAATTGTGTTTTACCTGTCTGGCACATCTAGTGGACGAATTTTGTTGTCTTCTACTGCTATAAAATATCTGTCAAAAATAGGAAAGGAGAAGAACAGGAAATGTTAATACAATTATCTCTCACAAAGAAAAAGGAAGGGTATGTGGGGCTATTGGAACTAGGAGCTGACAGGAAAGTATTTAGGAGAAGGTCAGGGAGAAGCATATGTGGGGGAAGAGTGACTGGACTGAGAGGCAGGAAAAGACCAAGAAAGTTATGTTTGGATGGAGTTGATAAATTCCTCTAAAAAGAGGCAGATGAGAAGTTTAAAGAACTAAGGACAATTACAGGTAGTCCTCAATCACAATTGAGCCCAAAATTTATGTTGCTAAATGAAACATTTGTTGATTTTTTTTGCCCCATTTTACGACCTTTTCTTGCCATAGTTGTTAAATGAATTACTGCAATTGTTAAGTTAGTAACAGGGTTGTTAAGTGAATCTGGCTTCCCCACTGACTTTGCTTGTCAGAAGGTCACAAAAGGTGATCACATGACCCCAGGACACTGCAAGTGCCATAAATATGAGTCAGCTGCCAAGCTTCTAAATTTTGATCATGTGACCATGGGAATGCTACAATGGTCGTAAGTGTGAAAAAAAGGTCTTAAGTCACTTTTTTTCAGTGCCGTTGTTAACTTTGAACGGTCACTAAATGAACTGTTGTAAATTGAGGACTACCTGTAAAGAAGTGGCATATGGGTATTATGAAAACTAGAATCACTGAAAGAAATGGAAAGATATGGAGAGGTATAAGGGATGGTGTTTATGTACAGTAGTGAAGTTATAGATAGGTTTTCCTTTTTTCATATGTCATGTTTCTGGTTTCTCAGCTTAGTAATTTATTATTTTTTGACTTTTATCTTGCTCTTTGCATAATGTTGCTTTCCCCAGGGAAAAGCCATGAGTTGTCAGAGAAAGCCATGACTTCCTGTGACTTCCTGTGACAATCAAACACAGAATAAGCTCCAATTTACTATTAAGGAGTCTTTACTCTGAGCAGATAGTGATGTCTGGCTAACTTTGACTGGTGCTCTTCAAATGAAAACCCATCTTTTTCAGCAAGCCGGGTTGGCTTAAGAAGAAATTTTTAAATTCTTTTAATTAATCTGTGATTCTTAACTTCGGGCCAAAATTTATATATATTTTTAAATGTTTTAATATTTGTATTCTATGTTTTTTATCTTGGCTGTACACCGCCCTGAGTCCTCAGGGAGAAGGGCGGTATATAAATTGGAAATTAAATTAAATTAAATTAAATTAAATAACAGTGTGTGGAATAAAGAAACTTACAGGACATTTGACAAAAACCCAACAAAATTGCTATTAGGGTGGTCTTTGCAGTTGTTGGTGCTGGCCTTTTTTTGGTGTGTCTCTTCCCCCCCCCCCCAACAATGTAGGGTATCCTTGTGGCATGGCATTTTGTGATTTTGTGGGAACAGACGTACTGATTCATCTTAATATTTTTTATTGTTTGATTCCACTTAAAACATCTAGCCATCTTGGGAAACTAGGTCAGTAATAACATCTGCTGACAATTTATGGTAGAAAATGAGATTTAGATCTGACTAACTTTTTGCATGCTTTCCAGGGTGGTAAACCGTACCCAGATAAAATATTGCATAAGGTAAAAATTGCAAATTAAACAATGCAGAACAGAACAAGTTTTCCAGATTTGCTTATGTTGCATAACTATGCAGATTACCATCACATTTGGATTGCAGACATAGATGCTTAATTTCTTGCATATGTGTGCATGTTTTTTATCAATGGCATTGCTTATATTGGCAAGGCAATGTTGTTCAACCTCAATACACAACAGATAAACTTTGCCAGGCTTAGGAAATGCTAATTTTGGATCGGTACTGCAAAAATATAAAGAAACAAACTGGGGGAAAGAACTTCCACAGCTCTGGGATCTTGACTGAAAACACTTCCAGGCAAATTTATTATGCAATTATCTTACCTCATCCAAGGAAAGTTATTGTTCTGAAAAAAAACAAAGCATTCCAAGAAAGAGATTTGATTATAATAATGTTCCTTGGGTAGAATGCTGCTTATGCTGGGCATGTTTTCAGTCAAGATCTGCTGGAAACATGTTGTGACTTCTATTATTTGACAGATTTTATTTGTGTCAAATAATCTTCCTTCCAGAAACTACAGCAAAGGTACTTACACAATCCACAGTCCTGATGAGGTAAACAACGTCAAGACAAGCGGTAAGAACATCCATACACTGAATTTCTTCCCATCCATGCCTGAGAACAAACAAGGAAATAGGAAATGAACTAAGCTATGTTGAATGGAAGTTAACAAACTCATTGGCTGAAGACATATTTTTTGCTAAGCGCAAAGAAAGTGTAGAATATGGATGGTGCAGCTCTTCGCCCGTCTTGCTTCTTTATCTCATTGGGATCTCCTTTTTTTTCTCTCTAGAGCAACGTGATCTTATGAGGAAATGGGGTTGTGTTGTTACGATTATTATTTTTATTTATTTGTATCCCTCCTTTATTATTTTTACAAATAACTCAGGGTGGCAAACATATCCAACACACCTTCTTCCTCCTATGTTCCTCACAATAGCAACGCTTTGAGGTGGGTTGGATTGAGAGAGAATGACTGGCCAAAAGTCACTTAGCTGGCTTACATGGGTAAGGTGGGACTTGAACTCATAGTCTCCTACTTTCTAATCTGGTGATTTAACCACCAGACCAAACTGATTCTTAAATTAAAAATACAAAGCATCATGATCTGGTTGCTCAAACCTCTACCTGGACACTATATTCTATCCCAGTGTTTCTCAGCCTTGGCCACTTATTAAAGATGTGTGGACTTCAACCCCCAGAATTCCCTAATTTCTGGAGGTTAAAAGTCCATATTGAAGTTGTTAAACTTGAAATAGACTGCTCTATCCATTTTCAGCATTTATCTTCCATTCCCAAAAACTGGAATGGAGAAACATCATGTAGGAATTAATTAATTTCAGATGTAAATGATGTAAAGATTGGGAAAAAGATGAGGAGGACACTTTCCAACCAGGGAAATATTATCAACTCATTGGTGCATGCTGAGTTGGCAAAATGGTAATTCTGTCTGGCATCCAGAAGGCAAGAGTGCAATTACGTACTCAGATTACACCCTTAATTTGTTCACAGGTTAAAAATATTGCCTAATATGCCAATCTTGCTTTGTTTAAACCTTGGTAAGAGGTTTGTTTTTGAAGCTCAGGCACAGTTGTGCAAATCCTATTCATGTGTTTAGTCTGCAGTTTAATATATTATGCAAAGATAGAAAATGATTAAATTCAGTAACTAGGCTAAGCATGCCAAGTGAACATAGCTATATATTCAGCTAAGTTATTTGCTACTAGGCAAGCAACTGAATGGTTTAAAATTGCTGCTTCATATTACCCATTCTTCAAACAAGGAGCTTTGAAAGCACATTTTACATAAAATGTAATGAATACACATATGTAAAAGCAGTAGTCTAGCCTATGTTTTGTTTCAAGGACTAAAATAATGTTCCTTTCTTTGCAAAACTAGTATAGAGAGGGGTTTTTCCCCCCCATGCAACTTATATTCATGCTGGGGTTTTTTTATTGGCAACACCTTTCAAGTAGTAATAGCAATACTTTTAATTAGCACATGCTTATAACTAGGGGCGAAATAAGTAAATCAAAACAGGCAAATCAAAAGTATATATAAACTAATATAAAAATAAAACAGTATAGCAACCAAGATAAGAAATTCCCTATACAGTACAACAATCAATGTAAAAAAAATTTAATACTACCAAACATTTAGTATAAATCTTTAGGATAGGAGAGAAAGAAAAAGTGAAAAAGAAAGAAAATGAGAGTTTGTTTCAGTTTTAAAGAGTGCTATGAAAAGAAGTGGTTTTTATTTTAAATTTCTGGAAATGGACTAAATGGAGAAAGCCCTAAAACATGAAATGGCCATTTTAAAATGAGGGGAAAAAACATGATTGCATTATTAATGCAAGTATTCAAAAGTATGAATGGTAATTAAGTTTTTCAAATAATGGAATGTTTCAGAGGTACAGCCAGAAGGCAGCCTCCGTATTTTAAATGATGACTGAAAGGTCCAACCAATAAAGGGATGGATAAAAATAAAAAAATAATGGGATTTGGTGAAAAATTCATGACCAGTTTGATTCACCAACATACTTTCACTAGTTTCTTACAAACCTAGCAGTCAACATTAGACGGAACCTCAGATCTAACTTCACCTGTATCCCAACGTACATTTGTCACCTGGAAAACTGAAGACTGTTTTCTCTATGTAATTTCCATGTTTAATTTCCAAGCAAGGTGCAGGTCATCTCATAATCAGATTTTCTCTAATTCCTTCCACACCAGTCCTCAGTCCTTGCATATTAACTAACAATTAATTCAAGCTTGTTACTCAACTTTAGAAAGATGCCATCACTGACAGACGGCCATTTCTGTCTTTCATCCTAACATCCTTATTAACTTTTAACTCAGTCAACACTGAGTAATGCCAAAATGCCTCAATTTTGCAGCTATGAACTTCCTATTAGGGGTTTATCTACCATGTTTCCATGCCTCTCTTGTGACCAAATGTGGTTCTTGGCTTGGAAACTCTAAAGCAGAATTACTGGATGAAGTTAGAGAAAACCCATTCTACAGTTCCCATTTATGTGGCGTTGTGGAATGTTTACTTTTATTTTTAAAACTGTACAATATGGTGACGTTTTATAGAACTACCGTATTTTTCGGAGTATAAAACGCACCTACCTTTTTTGGTGAGGAAAAGAAGAAAAAGAAATCTGCCTCTGCCTCTGAGCAATTTTGCCTCATTACAGCAAACAGCAAACAGCCTGCTTTACTTTCATTTTTGTTTTCAGCATAATTTGATTAGTACAAGGGGAAAAAAAACTGCTCCAGCAATTTACCTCTTTGTAGCAAGCAGCAGAGCCCTGCGCAAAACAGCTGAGAGCAAATCAGCTGAGTTGGGAGGCTGATCCAATCAACTTGTGCTAATTAGGCTGTGCTGAAGCTGAAAGGAGCTGTTTTTTCTTACTGTTTGCTTGCAAGGAGGTAAACTGCTGGGAGACACAGGCCAAAGGATGGGGGCCGGTGGGTGGGCGGGGCTACATTTGGTGTATAAGATGCACCTAAATTTTCACCCCCTTTTAGGGGGGAAAAAGGTGTGTCTTATACTCCGGAAAATACGGTAAGTCCTCCTGTTATGGTCAATAAAGGATATTTTAATGTTGTTTTATTATGCATCACCTGGAGTCACAAAGTCAGCAAGAGTTAGAAAGGAAAGAAGTCTAAGAATATGGAGAGGTCATATCTGGATCTCAAACCTTCGTTGTAAGCTCACTCACATGGAAAGGATCGACTGGACCTTCTGTTTGGCTGAGGCCGTGATGGCATCAACTTATCCTTTGTGATTTCAGTGGCAATTTTAGGGCTCTCTGCCGTCTGCTTTTGTTCAAGGTGGGCCATCCCGAGGCAGTCTGGAAAGCTGGTGCACCAATTGCACTGCTGCTTGTCTCAGTGTGCAAGAATGGAATTAAACCTGAGGAGAAAGGAGGTTGCACCTATATCTTTCTTCCGTCCCCAAAAAAATAAAAATAAAATAAAACGGGGCTATGGGTTGGGCAGCCACAGGAGAGATGGACGCTGCAATGTGAAAAGTAGATAAATACAACACAATGCAATTGATAGGGTTGTGCTTAATCTATAAAGAGCTTTAGCGCTCAGCATTGGGTGAAGTGCCAGATCATAAACTCTCTATTGATGTTGACCTGACCATTTTGTTCACGCTGGGAGAAACAACTGTCTGTCCCTCATTTTTAGGAGATGGGCTGATGACTTCTGGAAGAGTTTGCCCATAATGGGTCTGGCTTTCTGGAATGACCTCCCATCATGGAAGGTCTGGTTGGCCCCAATGTCCACCTTCCAAAAAAACACCTGAAAATTGAAGTTTTTTTGAGATGGTGTTTGGGGAATTAGAAGTATTGCACTTTTATCTTGTACTACGACACGATGGTCTTCTTTTGTAAGCTGCCGAAAGTCCACTTAAGATCGCTGAGGGAATAAAAGTTTGATGAATAAGCCAAGCAAAATAAGAAGTGCAATTTTTAGCTCCCTAATCCTTAGGCCTCATAAGTGGGAGAGGCCAGGGAGATTTCGACCGAACAGCATAAGTTAATTCTGTAGAGACTGGGCAACAATTTATACAGCATTGTGGATTGAGGGTTTGTTTGTTTTTTTGGAAATGGGGCAATCTTCTAAAGGAGACCAATACAAGAAAATAAATAAAATAATAAATATTAATATATAATAATAATTAAATAAATAATAAAATATGGCAGCTGCTGGGGAAAAAAAATTCTCTCCTAATTCCACATTGCCTCCCTAGCGTGTCAGGAATGGATCTGAATAGGACTTGCCTTCACACGGGCCTAGGATTTTAAATTGAGTGGATCGAATGAAATGGTGGCCTAAATTACTTTGACCCTCATTCCTTATAAAAAAAAAAAAATGAAGTATCCTTTAAATAACGCTCAGCTCCTGGTGACTTTATGAACATGTCCATATTGCCTTTTCGGCCACAATACAGAAGTCCTTTTTCCAGACCTTCTTTCTATAACCCTAACTCTAATTCCTTTCCTTTGACTCCTGGATTGGAGCTGAAAGGCGAAAGGGAAGCAGAATGCTCCCTCCCACATGCTGGGGTAGACCAGGTGCCTCGATAGAAAAACACTTTATATATACACTTTATACTGGAAAAGAAGCTTGCAATCCTTCCTGACACAGTTAAAGCAATATTGCTTTAACTATGTCAGGAAGAATTGCAAGCTTCTTTTCCAGTAGCACCCGCTTTAGAAATAGGGGCCTATTTTAACATTCACCACTGCAATGCTGCAATCTTGATACTAATTAATAGCAGCTACAAGAGAACTTTAAAAAATCTCTGTTTTGAGACTCATCCAGGGCTACGGATCAATGCTATGTTGTTTTAAGGCACGCATTTTCAACTTCATTCTTAGCCTCAGGACCTCCGTACTTGCATTAGCAAATGGCTCGTGTCAGAAAATCATGGGAATGTAGCAACCAGCTATTATGCCACCATTAGAGGAATTAAGATGCATGGCAGAGCTCACTTTGCAACACCAAGGCAGAGATCAAGGTTTCAGTTTAACTCTTCTCTGACAAATTTGTCTAATCCCAAAATATTAATTAGATTTTTTTTATCCCGCCTTCATTGCTTTATAATGTTAACTCAAGGCAGCAAATATAATATTCCCTCCTCCAATTCCCTCCCCACAACAACCCTGTGAGGTGGGATGGGCTGACAGAATGTGACTGGCTGAAATGTGACTGGCTGGTTTTCATGCCTAAAGCGGGACTAGAACTCACAGTCTCCTGCCGATTGGACCAAAGTCTCCCATTCAAGTTCATGCCTTAAGGCAGGACTGGAACTCACAGTCACCTGGTGACTGGCCCAAAGTCACCTAGCTGGCATTCAGGTCTAAAATAGGACTAGAACTTACCGTCTCCTGGTTGTTAGGCCAGCACTTTAATCACTACACCAAATATCATTAGGTCATGCAGATTTGTCCCTTTAATGCCTGAAAAACAGTATTTACAGAACATATCAGAACAGGCCAGAGGAGAAAAGGTGTTGGATTTGGTTCAAGTCTCAACGATAAAAGAGAGTCAGCCACTCCCCCTCAGCTCAACCCACCTCATTTAAACAGTTGTTATGAGGATAAAAAAAAAAGAACTCTATGCGCCTTGAGAAAATAAGAGCATAGATTTGCAATAATCCATTTGTAAATAAAAAAAAAAGTTCTATCTAATTAATCCCATGCTTTCCATTCTGATTGCATTTCATCCTCATATCTTATATTAAAAATAAGACGCCTCATTCAAATAAAGCTCAGTTCCTGGTGATTTTATAAACATGTCTTTTTAGCCGCAGTACTGAAGTCTTTCTCCAGACCTTCCTTCTGTATTTGTAACTCTAAAGAGTTCCTGATGGACTCCTCTGTAAGTACTAACAAGAAGGGTCTGCAATGCTTTGGAAAATCTCTTTTAAGGGCGCATAGCATCTACCTGCCCTTCTTGAAAGTAGACATGTTGTTTCCAGGACTGCAAGATTTACTCTCTGCAACTTTTTGGAATCGAAGAGAAAGCACTCCAGAGGTTAGGCCCTGCTTTATTATGGAGTTCAGACAAGGCTAGGCCAAAACGCCGAGATCATTTCTTGTGTGCTTTGGCCAAATAGAACACAAGGAAGATAGCATGATAGATTAATTATAGGATTCAAATATGTTCTTGGTGATAGGAGCTCATTAGTCTCTGATGTGGCAATGGCACTAGTTTGAAAGTCGTGCCATCATGCCAGGTTAAATATCTTTTTAATTGGGAAGGTTAGCAACATCTATGTTCTCCAACAATGATTGGTACCCCTGTTTACATGGTGCTCATTGGACTCTTACATGGCTTCTAACCTAGATCATAGGACATAGGTAGTCACCTCAATACAGAATCATAGTGACAAGTGTTTAAGCCACTGGATTCACCTCACATCTCAGTGTAGGAATCCAAATTAAAGCAACCCCATATGGTGATTGAACATGTCTAATGAAAGGAAATCCATCCCGTTTGTAGAAAATGGTTCCACAGTTGAACTATTCTTATTGTAGGAAGATTTTCTTCTAATCTTCAACTGAAATTTGTCTTCTAAAATTTAGTTCTTCTGTAACTACAGAAGAAGTCTTGGCCTTCTTCTGAGTGACAACTTTTCAGATAATCAAAGAATACTATCTATTATCTCTGCACTTAGCCCTTTCTTTTCAAAATTAATCATCCTCAGGTTCTATAAGCTGTCTTTACAGATTTAGCTTCTAGTTCCGTAAGGATACCTTTTGTATTTTCTGAACTTATTCCAAAATCTCTGAATCCTTCTTAAAATGTGATATTTGGAACTGGGCAAGATTCAGCAGCTGAGGGCACACTAATCCAGAATAAAGTGGCACAATTAATTCCTATAATTTCTAAATTATACTGTACTTCCATTCATGCAGCTGAAAATCTTTATTTTTGCAGTTACGGTACTTCACACTGCTGACTCACATGCAGTTTATAATTAACTATTATAGGAATAACTTTTTTTTACAAGTACCACCAACTCAGAACATTACTTTCTCCATTTTATACTTACACATTTGCTTTTTTTTGTTTTAAGAAAGAAACAAAGTCTTAAATTGCGTTCTGCTGTTTTCAGATCATTTATCAAGATTTTGTTAGGGTTTTACTTCTGCTTTTTAAAATATTAGCTATCCTACTGGATTTTGTCAACTGCAAATTTGATACCTTCCACCCCTTCCTCCAAGTCGTTAATAAAACTGAAGAAAGGGGCATATAACCATGATAACATGTAATGCATGCCATTTGCATTTTAAATATGATGGGATTTTCTTTCTTTTTAATTGGACAATTTGCATAAGTTCCAACAAGAATAAGATTTAATTTTTTTCCTCTTTAGCCTTTCCCTTCTGAATTTCTCTCCATTATTGTAAAACAAAAATCCCCATTAAGGTATTTGCCATACTAGGTTGACTGCAATTCACAAATAATGCCAAAGCTTTTAATTCCTTAAGAACATCTCATCCAGCAAGATGATGAAGAAAACAAAGGAAGAATGCAAATGCCCAAACAATGACATTGTTTGAAACCGAACATGGAAAAATGTTATGGATGTGCAAATGAGGTACCCTACAGCACTAACAATATGTCATACTGCCCTCGATCTTGCCTAAAAATTCACTTTAAGGAAGAAAGAAACAAGCAGATCTGTCACAAAAATATTAAAATCCATGTGTTAAAATCAAATCTATTTCCAATCATAACATAAGTACAGAAAAATCACAGTAGGTGGAAAAAAAAGCTAACCTACTTTTCATCTTAATGAAACTGGAGATCATATTTGAATTTTGTACAGTATTCATTTTAAGGCTATTAGAATAATAATAATAATAATAATAATAATAATAATAATAATAATAATAGGGTTATATAATTTAGCCAGTTTGGTGTAGTGGTTAAGGGCACCAAACTAGAAACCGAGAGACTGTGAGTTCTGGTCCCACCTTAAGCACAAAGCTCTTGGACCAGTCACCCTCTCTCAGCCCCAGAAAGGAAGCAATGGCAAACCACACTTCCGAAAAACGTTGCCAAGGAAACTACAGGGCAATCACCAGGTGTCAATAATAACTCAACGGCATTAAAACTAAAACATGTGCAACATAACACTGCAGACTTAACAAAAAGAAACAAAAATAATACTACTAATAATAGGCACCTTGGGTGCAAACCCCAAACAACTGGACCATCTGTTGAATATCTTTGGCATTGACAATTGCAAAAGCCAGCTTTACTTGTAATGAGTAACTTTTACTTTGGAACTTTGATCCTCAAAGGATATCTTTAACACCAGTATCAAACAACATCAGCCTATCCCAGTTGCTTGGAAAGGACTCTGTAGAAAGTCAGCGTCTACCCCCTCTCCCTGAGGGATGAAATATTTGGGGATATATTAAAAAGGAAGAATATTATATTTCCCTAGAAGAGAAATGGAGAAACATGTTTTTTTTAGAGGCAGAAAGCAACCCCCATTTTCCTTAATAGCAGATGTCAGCACTTAAGAGATAAAGAGCTTATTGAAAGAAGACAAGTATTTAGATAGCTCTATTCATAAGCAAATACCCTCACCCAAGAGCCAAAACAGGATGAAAGCCATTAAGCCACAATAGGAATTGCCCAACACCCTTTCAGAACACAAGCCCCTTCATTGCACCAACCCAGAGCAGTCCAAGCTTCACTTGGGAGCTCAGATAAGCAGCAAACAAAAGGTTGACACATTAACTCAGACAAACACCTTATATAGAGGCCAACTATGACCCCTACATAACCCCTACAGACCCCATAGGAATCTGACAACAGCCAATAAAATGCATGTTCTTGCACAGGAACAGGAAGCTCAAGTTCAAAGCCCAAAGAAGGTATACAAACCCACTCACTCTCAACTCCATTTTGTCAGCTGCCCAGAATCACATGTGGTTCTGCGTCATCAATAAACTATCTTTCCAATAAATCAGCCTCCATGTTTTCAATGTCTTTCTCCCAGCTTGGAACTGAACAAGATGGATGTTTCTTCCCACAACTCGATAGGTGGATAAATATGCCAAATCCATTCTAAACATCTGGCTATGTGACAAACCATAATAATAACTCCCCTAGAATAGAATAGAATAGAATAGAATAGAATAGAATAGAATAGAATAGAATAGAATAGAATAGAATAGAATTCTTTATTGGCCAAGTGTGATTGGACACACAAGGAATTTGTCTTTGGTGCATATGCTCTCAGTGTACATAAAAAGACAAGATACACTTGTCAAAAATCACAAGGCACAATACCCAGTGACAGTAGTGTATTCTACTAGAAGGGTCACCCATGCCAGTCAGATTTTATTGGAAGAGGCAGCTTAAGTCTATCAACTAGTGGTGGGTTGCTACCGGTTCGCCCGGTTCGGGTGAACCAGTAGAGGCGGTGGTGGAAGGCTCCGCCCACCCGCCCAGACGTCATCAAATACGCTCTGTGCATGCAAACCAGTAGCAAAGGTAAGTGAAACCCACCACTGCTATCAACTCATTTAATATGGTGTGAAAACAGGAAAAAAAAAATCCTATATTGGACCAGTCATCACACGGTCCAACAAAAACTACAACAGACGTTACATTCCTGGGTATCTCTTGACAAGTGGGCAATAGGGTTCAACAACAATGGCTGGGCAACCAAGGCCTTCTTCTGTAGGATTATGGGAAGAACAACAACTGCAGATAAGACAAAAACAATGTTTGAAAACCATGCCATTATGGCCTAAAAGGTAGTCCTCGATTTATGACCACATTTGAGCCCAATACTTCTGTTGCTAAGCAAGGAAGTTGTTGAGTTGCGTGTCCCATTTGATATTTTTGCCACAGTTGTTAAGTGAACACTGCGGTTGTTAAGCGAATTGTGACCATTAAGGGAATTTGGCTTCCCCCTGTTTACTATGCTTGTGGGAGGCCAGCTGGGAAGGTTTCAAATAGTGATCACATTATCTAGGGCAGGGGTCTGCAACCTTAAGCACTCAAAGAGCCATTTGGACCCGTTTCCCACAGAAAATAAAACACCGGGAGCCACAAAAGCCTTCCCATGCCTGACTATTTCTTAAGCGGCCACAAGACTAGCATAAGTAGTTGAATTAAATGTTCTGTTTTCTTCTGAAACTTTTCTTTTCTTGGATTTATCCATGGTTGGCCTACCGGGGGTTGAAAAGCTCAATAAATCGCATGCTGGCGGGTATCGCACATTGGCGGTTGTGACACATATTTTGAGTGACAGGGAGCCACAGCAGAGGGGTGAAAGAGCCACATTCGGCTCCAGAGCCGCAGGTTGCTGACCCCTGACTTAGGGACAGCAACTGTCATAAATACATGCCAGTTTCCACTTTCCCACATTTTGATCACATGACCATGGGGATGTTGCAACGACCATAAATGTGAAAAATGGTCATAA